AAAAAGGTGTGCTTGTTCCTATGACAGAACCAACCGAGCGGGTTAGCCAAATGGTTGTTGTACACGAACCCAGTGGCAAATTACGCATGTACATCGACCCGCAACCACTAAATGAAGCATTCAAGCGTGAACATTACAGATTAGTGGTACTTGATGATGTGCTCCCCAAACTCAGGGATGCCAAAGTTTTCAGTAAGCTTGATGTGAGAGAAGCTTATTGGCACGTTAAACTAGACAAAGAGTCCAGCAAACTCACCACAATGATCACTTCTTTTGGCCAGTACCGGTGGAAGAGGCGGCATAGGGTAAAATATGGACTGGACTATTTTTTGGACCATTTTTTGGACCATTTTAGAGGGGGGAAACACACCATTATTACTGAGGGAGGGGTGGGATGAAGTCTATCAGTACTGAGGGAGGGGTGGGAGGCAGAGTGTTATTACTTAGGGAGGGGTTTGAGACGGACTAATAGTACGCAGGGAGGGGTGAGAGGTGGTTGTAATGGTAAACACCACTGGTTAATGGAGCTTTAACTCGATCGCACAAACAATTTTAATTGGTTTTTCGACTAAGTTTTTGTATGATTTTTCAAAGTTTTAGCGCTGTGCTGCGGCGTTTCTTCATTTTTTTTTTGTCATGCGAAAGCGAAACTGCCACGAAACACTGGACTTCTACGTTTTGCCGACGGAAATTATCGGCAAGCAACAGTAGCCACCATAGTTCCACTTCGCAGGTTTCATAGGTTTCAACGCAAGAACTGATCGACAGCGGCCTAGGCAAATTGGAAAACAAACCTAGGGGAGTCGCGAGGAATACCTGGTCGCGATTTCTGGTGTCGGTGATTAACTTCTTCGTTTGCGAAACAGATGAAATCGATATTTGCGCTTTCCCATTTTGAGAGTACAGCAGTGTTTTTGGTCGATTCGAGAACATGGATTCCTCTTCGAAATCGTTCGCTAATGATTTTATATAGTAAAGGTATAAACTTTAAAATTACGATAGCGCTTTTGAATATTCTAAATGCTGCTAAGTTAAGACCGGAAATTCCGTGATCTCGTTTATAAGATCAATGACAAAAGGAAGATAGTTAAAGTTAGTAATTACATACTGTATATACAAAGGGAAACTTGAAACAACTGATGGTGCACAAGTTGACTCAAAAGGTGCACGCATAACTCAACAGTGGAGGATCGTAAACGCTATATTTTCAATACAAATTAAAGTCCAGTGTTTACGTGGCAGTTTCGCTTTCGCATGACAAAAAAATGAAGAAACGCCGCAGCACAGCGCTAAAATTTTGACATACAAAAATTCAGTCGAAAAACCAATTAAAATTGTTTGTACGATCGAGTAAAACCTCCATTAACCAGAAGTGTTTCCTATTACAACCACCTCCCACCCCTCCCTGCGTAGTAATAATACGTCTCACACCCCTCCCTGATTAATAACACTCCACCTTCCACCCCTCCCTTAGTACTGATAGACTTCATCCCACCCCTCCCTTAGTACTAATGGTGTGCTCCCCCCTTCAAAATGGTCCAAAAAATAGTCCAGTCCATATTTTACCCTATGCCGGAAGAGGCTCTCTTTTGGACTCAAGGTGTCAAGCGAGATCTTCCAGCGCAAGCTTGATAAAGCTTTGGGAGGTCTAGAGGGTGTTTTCAGTGTTGATGACGATGTAGTTATAGCTGGGTGTGGCAAGACAGTGGAGGAAGCTTAAATTGACAGCCAACGGAAACTGACGAACACCTTGAAAAGGTGTGCTGAGAAGAACATTGTCCTGAACGAGGACAAACAGCAGACTGGTTTAACTGAGATTATTTTCCATGGTCACAGAATCACAAAGCATTATGTGAAAATTGACTAGGCCAAAGTAAAAGCTATCCGCAACATGCCTGCACCTACCGATGTAGCGAGTGTGAAACGTTTTTGTGGCATGGTACAGTACATGTGGAGGTTCATACCTGACCTTGCCGGGACACTTGAACCAATCCGTGCTCTAACTAGGAAGGACACTCCATTTGTGTGGTCCACGGAATGTGAAAACCCCGGCCCACATTGATGTTTCAAAAGAAGTTGTGATTCAAGTGGAGAGTAGCAAACATGGAATTGGTGCTGTTCTGCTTCAAGAAGGTCGTCCCGTAGAGAGGGGGACATGGGGGTTTGCGGTGTTGCGGTGTTGACTCTTTTTTCGATGTGGTATTGTGGTAAAGAACAACTGGTATTGCGGTGTTGCGGTGTTGCGGTGTTGCGGTGATCTCAAAGCTTACGGTGTACGATGTTTGTAATTTCAAACCGACGGTGGTCGGTGAAATAAACCATTTCCAGTGTTGCAGTTTATCCTTTAACTAGATTTTGACAACCCGTGGTTAATTATTGTAAACACTTAACACTGTCGAACAAAATAAGCCGCTTATTTTGTTCGACAGTGTTAAGTGTTTACAATAATGGCATTACAACCGAGTTCATCTTTAATAAATATCATCTGATTTATCCCAAAAAACGATCGTGTGTAGAACAAAGACAGAAAAGACCTATCTTCCAGTTCTTCTGGTTACGTCTGTCATACAATCATCCCAGAACTAGACAGATATTCTCCTGACAACCAGCTTGGTATGTTTCCGTCACCAATTAGCATCGCCATTCCGTCTAAGGATGGATAGCATTTCTGTCCTATGATGTGAAGAGTGTTTTGTCTACACTTTACAAAGCTCGCTTGCATAGCCCTGTTGACAAAATGTCAGCAACCAGACAAAATCTCCAAGCAAGGGATATCCATCATATCATCTTCCTAACTTTTGACTGTCAAAGCAATTCCGTTTGCAGACAGAGCAATCAACATCTTGTCCCAACCAAGAAAAAAGGGTGATTTCATCAACCTTGCTAAGCGACTCTACCTGCCATCCGTGGGGACTGTTAGAGAAATAAAGGAGAGGCTACAGATCTACCCTTCATCCCTCAAATCCAGATTTATCCTGGATAACATAAAGGCTGATAAAATCCATTTCCGAAGTTTGAAAGACAGCCATCCTTTGAAAGTACGCTGTGCACCGACGATGAACTGATATATGCTGCGATTGTCTCGAGTGATTGTCTCTTTTCAAGTGGAAAAGGATGGCATCGGGCTGAGAGGGGTAAACATGCAAGAAATCAAGTAGTATGGGTATTCATGGAAAAAGATCTACAGCATGCGTCTGCATGTGGGATGCATTTTCCTGTCACATTGTGAGGAAAATTTCTCTGGAAGAAGTTCAACTGAAAGATGAGCCCTGCATGTTGACAAGTTTTGGCTCACAAATTAATCCTCTCTGGTAACCAAAACCGGGCAGCTCTGTGTACGATCAAGAATAATGGAGAGGTCGAAGTTTTTGCCTGCTGCGAAAGAAAGGAAGGTACTGTGGATGGGAAAGTACAGGATTGCCAGTTTCGACAACCGATGGGCATCTGCACGGAGTCTGAAAGCGTCATTTACGCCTGTGATGCCCAGACAAATTCCATCAAGACCTGCACTAAAATGGTCGAATGCGTCAAATTTCTCAACTCTGTTGGTCAGCTTTTTGACGCCTTTTCCATCCATTGTAAAGGAACAGGATTAAGTCTCCCGATGAAACGCTCTCCCTTGTCCGCCAGTGTAAAGAGCTTCTAGAGAGGAAAACCAACGAGATCCGAATGAGTACTGGCATTACAAGCGCTATTAATGGACCTCAGGGTCATGTTTCCGCAAGGACCGTGGCCTCAGTTGCACTTCTTGAATGGGGGCTGCAGAGATTGTACAGTAATTTGCAACCATTCAATCAAAGTTCAACTAATCTCTTGAGTTGTATGACACTGGACGTAGAGAATTGCCATTCCTCTGTTCATATCAAACAAGTGAACATGTCCATGATGTAGTATGCTAAATCCTTTGAACTTACCATGAAAGAATCAGTCAAAAGGGTGACACAATGGGCCGCGTTTTATCATACAAGAGGAAGTCATAGTACCCTAAACCAGAGGAGACAATACCATTTTGTAAAGTCCCTTTGATAAAGCCACTTCCCATCGCCGATATGTCTAAAGCAAATTGCGATATTATGCGGAGTTGGGCTTCGGCGTATGGAGCAGCATTGCGACAGCGGACAGTGCGCCAGAAGACGACCGTGACAAAACATGGCACTCTCCCTGACTTTATATGCCAATCACAGCTGTTGTTAAACCAATGAATGACAGCGAACCACCCGGTTCTTTGTAACATGAAGCACAACCAGTCGGAATCATCGTCGACCACATCGATAGACAAACGATAAACTGCTAGTGTTAGTCACCACGATGACTAACTGTATAACCTTTTTTTGTGAAATAGAAAATGGACTTGAAGCAAAAAACTAGACGAAGAAAGTCGCGAGATGAGAGGAACAAACTGCGAACTTCATTATTTGTGGGAATACATTCTAACTTCAGAGGACGCAAGACTGAGCTTAGGGAAACACTGTCGTATCACCGCTTAGCAGCAGTAACTTCTTTGGCTCATCTTAGCTGTCATGTATTTATAATGACGGAGAATGCGATAGGAATGTCTTGTGTTGTGTTTCTTGTGTTTGAAAAGTAGAAGTAATGGTATTGACGTTAAAAAAAAAACATTTAGACAAGGTAAATTTTGCGGTGTCGGTGTGTTGATAATATTTCTTGCGGTGATGCAGTGTTTGTTCTATTTTGTTTGCTGTGTTGCGGTATTCAGAACCCCCCATGTCCCCCTCCTCAAGTGCACTTGAAATGCCAAGTATGAACCCGCCTAATTATTCATCTTAGTGTCATTGAGGTTGATGGATATTTACCTTACCGTTTTGCGGCTTTGTAAATATCCACCACTCTTCACCTCCACTTCGGTGAATAATTGCTAAGTATTGGACATGTATATACACTGATTTAGCCCACCACATAGTGTCCTTGACGATCGTTTAAAGCGTTATGTGACATCCGAGGGAACGGCTGCAAAGGAGACTACACCTGCGACATACCAGAGACTAAAAATAACACTGTGGTTATTCGAACCCTCTGATGTTTTAACTATTTAACGGAAATTGTGGAATGATATTACTCAATCAGTTGCTGTCCATCGTATCGTTTCTGAATGTCACGCCACTTTTTCAAAAAATAAACAGATGGACAACTGTGTAGATATTACACACGACTTGTGAACTGTGAAAATTGAAGTACAGAGGTGAAAGATTTCGAATTTAGACGATGTCAAACTTAACGTGGAGGGTACTGTTGATTATCACCATAGGGCTGACTAGCGAAGGAAATATTTGGCAGACGAAGGAAGATGTCTATGAAAGTAAGTTCACTTAAACATGCAGGGATATCGTCAAGCAGTCAGAGTAGATCAACTGCTCATGCAAATAGTAAGAATAGACACGTCAAGATGATCATGAATTTCTGCTAACCAGGTCGACTTACAACGGTCTTCCGTTTTATTTCAAAATAGACTTATTCCTCGTAACATTGCGGGGAGGTATGTCAGAGATGAGACTGTAAGTTACTTTACACCGAATTTCTCAACAAAAGTGAAACGTATTTATTATGATTTAGCGATATAAAATTCCCCTCCGTATCTTGTTCACTCAAAGGTACATTGCTGGAATTTCGAATATGTTCTTTTGCTGGTACACGGCGCTTTTGGATAAATTGCAATCAGGGTCATGTTCCTTTCGCATGGGTTTTACCACGCATAGCCGAGGTCAAGGGTAGAAAGTGCGATGTGTGACGAGACTAAACAACGGCTGCGAAGGAGACTACGCTTTGTTCTCGCTTATACCACCCGTACCATCTACCAGCTCTGATAGATATCGATGAGTTTACACACAAAAAACAAACGTTATCATTCGTCTTGCCGTATGGCATTGATACATTTTTTTTATTGGTACCGTTTGAAAAACTTAATTTTTGTCCCTTGCCTTATTTATGTGAATCCCCCTCGGTTAGACCTACGATGATATATACTACCACGTAGGGATGAGATCTATGAGATTTCAAAGTATGCAACCAACACATATATAATTGTAATAATAATAATAATGATAATAATAATGATGATGATGATGATGATGATGATAACAATACTAATGATATTGATTATAATAATGAAGTGCTAAAATCTATTTATCGACACTCAGCGGTTCTTTACTGGTGGCCAATTCAACATCTCGTTCTTTTGCGATTATTCACAACTCATTGATAAAAATTATACGCGCCCGCTAACCATGGGGCATGACAGCACCGGTAAAGAGCGACATTGCTTGCTGGCCGTGTTGATAATATGCGGCCGCACTAGTTTACTGGAACTGTGGTCGAAGAACATTCAAAATCTTGAGATAAATTCGATTTCTCTACATCAAGCGTTCTCCCTGTGCTCATTCACCCAAAGTTTGAGACATTTTTACTTGCTGTTGTTCAGGAACAACGGATTAATTTTCTACACTTCGAAGGTTTTTGGGTCCTGATAGAGAAATTGAGCTTTTCGCTGTGATATCGTTGTTTGTGAAAGCCTGAATCATGGTTTGCGACCGCTATGGTTTTTCACATTCGGTTCAAGGAACATTTTCAGTTCTATTCGTCTAACAAATCGGAGATTCTCGCCAGTTCGAGTTTTTCTCTTCGGATACTCTAAAAATTCCTCTTCATTTGTTTTTTAGCGTAGTTGCACGCCACCCCAACACATATCTTGGTGCTCCTAACACGCGTGGTTCTTGTTGTTGAACCAAATCATATTCAGCAGAGCCTCACGGGAGACGACGTTCTTAACAGTTCTTGGTCGTACATTAGTCTTATCTGAGAGAGCAGCTGAAGCAAACAACAACACAACAAGTCTACAGAGCTGACGCTATGCTTTGTACTGATTGGCTAATTTCCATCGCATGTTTTTGCTTGGAGTTGATTGGCTTGGGCAAACTGTCCTATTTTTCTTAAATAGGATAGCATGTGAATTTTTTAACTCAAAATCCTTAGTGAAACTATCCAATTTAATCCTTAATTGGACAGTTCTCAGAAACTAAAGGATAATAGCTGCGCTGGCAAAATTGGATTAACTGACCAGCTATATAATTAAATAAGATTTATGTAACCCCCACACTCCTAAGGCGAGGCAAACGCTGTGAAATTTTCATGTCAAATCCTCACATAACTCTTCTGATAGAAATAGGTGCGCATATTCGCAGCGTGATTTAGCCACTTTGAATGTGACGTAACAATGAGTGCCATTATATGCCATCTTCGTGACTTACACGCATTGCTAACAGAGTTTACAAAACCTGGCTTAGCACATATCACCGGCTCTCCTAATCGTATTCAGAGATGTCATTACATATAAGAATTACTTCCTCGTTTTCCAGGTTTTCAGAAGACTCCACCGTTACAGGAAATCAAGGAATACCTCATGAAATATTTTCTAGATCGTCGAGACCACACAAGGGGAAAGAGATTCATTCCATATCACGACATCATTTTCATTCTCGACTCATCCAAGTTTCTCTCTGAGGAAAACTTTAATCTCAGTGTTATAACAGCACAAAATTTGGTGACGAGGTTCGATCCTGACACACAATTTGCATCAATAATATTTGGGACCAATGCTACCATCAGCTTCAATTTTCATTTTGCCAGGGTAAGACTTGAGTTTTATAAAACAATAATCGATCCCTACTTTACTCTGCGTGCCTGTTCTATGCCGTTCTCTGCAATGTGCGACACGGTGTTTCGTCTTACCGTATTTACAGTAGATTTGATTAAATCGGCATTTCGCGGACGTCTTCATTGAGTGGACGCGGGCGCGATTGTGAACTAAAACTTGTAGGATAATTCAAGAGGTTTCAAGATATAGCTTTTATATTTCAGGCAAAGTGTGCAGTATTACAAATCGAGTTCCGTCCAAACCACCTCATAATATAAGAAGTAAAAGGGGCGCTTTTGAGTACAATTTCCCAGAAGTTTATTTTTTACACCCTTGCCGTATTTTTCTGGCATTATTGAGATCGCTTCGAAAATCGGTTTCATTATGCCATTTCCAATACGAACGTTCAGAGTAAAATGTGCGAATAATGATAAATATGAACGACATGATTCAGTGTAAAATGTGTAACTGATATGATACAGCGAAGTTTCAGCTTCAATGAGAATCGAGCTTTTTAAGTCACTATTTCTTTTCCTAATTCACCAAATTTCTAGGCATTGACTTTCCTCTCAATGAACGCAATCGTAGTTATGTCGAACCGTTGTACTAATTTTGCTCTCAAGATGTCTTTTTTTATCCCTGTGTTTTTCTTTCTTTTATCCGTTTTTTTCTCTCACCAGGTAGCCATTGAGAGCTTCGGTAAAGTAGGATATCAAGGAGGGAAGAGAAACACCTTTGATGCATTACAAGCCGCACAAAATATGCTTTTACTTAACCACAATTCAGGGGTGCGTGACGGCAGTCGTAAAAAAGTGCTACTTGTGACTACAGGGCCGTGTGAGCGCACTCTTACTGAGACGATCAAACTTCAGAGGCTGATTTGGGTAGCGATGCAAATAAAAAACCTGGGAGCTGAAGTGTTTGTTGTTGCTGTCGGCAATAGGATTCCCAGAATTGAAGAACTGCTTTTAATTCCAAGTTCTACCGATGTGCATTTCTATCGTGTGGCCAATATGACGGCATTTAAGAGTTTAGTGGATGAGATCCCTATCCATATCGTTTACCAAGATGATTACTAGGTTCCACAGTATTCGACGACTTGTTTGAACAGTCGAATCATTCTTATCCATATTCTTTACGACTGTAAAGACAGAACAATGCATTGGTACGCGCTATTCTCGTTTAATGATCGCCTTTTGATGAATCTTCTTCACAAGCCACTGTTTGCGACCGGCACCATTTGGATTTTTAGACCTTTCTACCACTGGACAGTGGAAAGTCCAAATATTTTCGCCTAGACTACAGTTCATTACAAATAGGTTTAGCTAGTGGCTCTTAATGTAGGTTTTTCTTCTAAGACCTCTAATGCAGAATAATTACTAATTATTGACCACTATGCTTAGCATAACTAGTTTTCAGACTATATCATACACCACCCAAACAGCATGAGGTCAAAATTTTCATAACTATGGAACGACAATTTATCAACTTGCAGGCTTTTCCTGGGGGGAGGGAGGAGGCCTTACTGCTGTTTGCTTTGTTAAACGACTCTAAGGCCTCCGTGAAAAATTTTGAAGTTACGATATAGTCCAGAAATGTATGCTTGATGGAATCGGAATTGGTGCAAAAGATGCATGTTCACCTTCAGGTACTTGAATTTCAACAAGTTTGTTTTGCGCTTGTAAGATCATATGTCAAAGCCGGAAAGAAACAACCCAAAATTTAGTATCACCTGTCGATGGGCAGATAAATGATGATTTAAGTTTCTATTTGTTAAATAAGTTCAGATGGTTAATACCAGTTGTCAACTTTCAATATTGCATGGAAATGTTTGCAACACGTTTTAATTAGATCCATGGGAGCATTACCCGTCGGAGGAAAAAATCATATGATGTGTCTAATGACTCATGTGAGAGCCTTCCAAAATCCCTGGCTTAACTCTTTCAGTATAGATGCTATCAGTTGAAAGGAAGGAAGATAATGCTTTGTTCAATTTAAACTTACCTATTAAGGATAGCCTGCACAATTCAGATCTTCTTATTTTGCAGGGATCTTCAAAATAGCATGTTGTTTTTAAGGTTATTTTTATCAGTTTTTTTACTACTAATTCACTAGACGAAAATGATTTTGGTACTTTTAAACTCCCGGGTGTATCGCAAAAGTTGTAAAAGGATTGTGATCCTTTTCAGAAATGACATCGTAAAAAAGGCTTTGGTGAGTTATCGTGGTAAATAACACTTACACAAGGGAAATATAATCGTATGTCTCACGACGTGGTCACTTCGGTGGATCACAATCCAAACCCGAAGTTACTACATCTTGAGACGAATGTTTATACTGAAATTATTTCTCTTTTTTAGACATTGTTGACATTATAAGCAAGACGCTAGGGGAAAAGAGGCACTATTAGTTATATTAAACGTTTTCACATGCCAAGACAAGTAACCATACCATATTTTGCCGCAAAAAAATTTGAAATGTGGAAGACGCTTTCAACTGAAAGCGGAGGCACTATTAGTTATATTAAACGTTTTCACATGCCAAAACAAGAAACCATACCATATTTTGCCGCAAAAAATTTGAAATTTGGAAAACGTTTTCAACTGAATAAGGTTCAAGTATAAAATTTTTATTGATTACTTTTAAACTGACCTTGCGAGTAGACTTACCTCCTTTAGTGTACACCCGAGATGCAACTTAAAATATCTGACTAAGCCTCTCCACATCAAGCCTGCTTTTTTCCTTTACTCCTAGGATTTACTTTAAAAACTGAGAAACCTCTTCTTTCCTGACAATGGCTTCGCAAAGTTAATTAGTACATTATTCCTCTTTCACACCGAGATTTTAAAAAAATTTAATTCCTACCCCAAGAACCACCAAATGATCTTTAAAGGAAAGTACGAAGAAACCATTTTTCTAACGAAAGGAAACCAAAGGTTTTGTCGTTCCTGGTTTCATAGCAGGTGGCTTAAAGATAGAATAGGTCTTGGTCAGAAATTATTACCGTGATACCTTTCTGTCGCAATTGCATCAGTACGCTTTACGTAGGTCACTGTGGGAGATTGTTTACGAAACGGAAATCCAAAGTAATAACGTTTTTTTCTTTTTGGTGGATAGCTTTTGCTGATCAAATTTTAAGACGATCGTGAGACTTTTACGCTAAACAACACGCTTAGTAATGCAGAAGCACGTAGACAGCATATCGTATCACAGAGTTTCCCTAATGGTCGCGGGTCGCGTGTCGCGGGTTTTAAAAAAGTAGCGGGTTTTGAAAAAAGTCGCGGGTTTTGAAAAAAGTCACGGGTTTTGAAAAAGTCGCAGGTTTTGAAAAAAGTCGCAGTTTTTTTATAGCATGCCTATAAAAGAAAGTCAAAGCACTGGAAAAGCATTGGAAATAAAAAAAAAACCTAGTTAACAACAACAACAAAATAGTAATAAAAACAAACAATACAGGAAATCAACCAACTATTATCAAAACTTTCCTGTAGGGTGATGTTGTTGCATTTTGAGCAGAGTCGAATTTTGCATTGGAAATGTCATTTTTTTTTTTTGAAACTCAAATAAATGTGACAAGTTTTGTAGACCCACATTTACCTGTATATTTCTTTACCAAAACACAACAAGTTTTCTCATATTTGGCATAAAATGTTATAAATTTGTGAAAGCACTATGCAATAATGACAACAACTTACCCCATGTACTGTCACAATAACTATCTTGAAGTTAAGTACGTTAGCCAAGGCAGAAATCACCATGTCAGTCACATAATTCTTCTTAAGCTTTTCCAGTGCTTCCAGCCAGGTTTTCGGCTTCACTGTGTCCTGGAAGTCGACCTCACACAAGAAATCGAATCTGTCCAGTCCATTTTCCTGCCAGATTACATTCATCATATGAGAAAAAGAACATCAATTACAAAAGGCTGCAAAAAGGCTGCCCTAGATCATGCATGTTGGTTGATCTAAGTTTCGTAAAATAATTATAAAGTTTATTTCCGCTTTCAAATGCTGCTGCCTATTGAGAAGTGATAAATAATAAAATAAATTTTCAATGCACCGTACATTGCTCTTGTTGTTGCTTTCAATTAAGGTTTTTTCACACAATTACAATTTGTTTAAGCTCGTATATATTTGTGTTTTTTTGTAAACATAGCAATATAATTTTCTCAACTGAAATCAAAGCTAAGTTTTGAACCGTCTAAAAAATTCTCTTCAAATTCGTACACCACCGCTGTCATTGTAGCCCACAAAATTTTTTAAAAGTTTAGTAATTAATGCTATCATAAATGCAACCTCCTGTCTTGGCGCTCACATGGTTGCCTCGTTTGCTCGTTCGGTTCTTGTCCAGATGTGAGCGTAGAACGCGTTTGGGAACTTTTGAGAACCCCTAAGAAGCTAGCGTTGCTCATATATATAAGCTTTACGTAAGCTTACTTACATCAATTTGATGGTTCTCGAGGTGCTGGAAAACGAGCTTCTTGACTTGTTCTCTCTCCAGGCTCAGTTGGTGGGCTACCGCCGTATAAAAACAATCGCCATCACCTCTCGGATCGAAGGAAATAAAAAACCCCATTTCTTTAGTCGCTGACGAAGCTTAAACATTCCTTGCTGACTCTCCATTCTAGAATGCGTAATTTTACAATGCACCGTCGCACACTATCATCCGGGCTCTTGCTTTTCAGATCAAAAGGCGGGAAAACCGAAGGTGCATTCCATTTTTACAGTCTGATCAGTGGGACTAACCAAGATAAGCTATAGCAAAATTGAACATTTTCCGATGAAACCAGGCCAATCGGTCGGAATGGTCTTTGCATTCCGTTCCTCAGTGCCACGTGTGTACTAACCAGTTTATGGAAATGGAAAGGTAAATTCCGATACGATCAGGGCAACCAGTCAAACGATGCATTTTATTAACACTAATTTCAAACATTCGCTTTAATTTTATGGACCTTTCTTTGCATCATCATCAATTTAAATCATGCTTTTTTACAGCATCGTTATTTAAAGATGCCTTTATTTCGAGAAAATCTACCTCGCCGTCAGAGTCAGTTGACATATTGTCATTCAGTTGATTGAAAACATCTTTAGATTCGTAAATTTAACGGTGCTGAAGTGGCTGTTTTATTTTGTGAAATTTTAACGCACAGGCTTGAAATTCACTACGAAATAGTTCTTATAAACACACGCAAATTCGCGTTAATTAAATAAATAAATGTAAACTTAACTTTGCGAAAATTCGCATTAACGCGTAGATTTTGTTCTTCGTTATATTCCTATAATGCAATCTTCTGAAAACTCGCGACTTTTTCAAAACCCACGACTTTTTCAAAACCCGCGACTTTTTCAAAACCCGCGACTTTTTTAAAACCCGCGACTTTTTTAAAACCCGCGACACGCGACTTGAAACCCGCGACTTTTTTTAAACCCGCGACACGCGACTTGAAACCCGCGACCCGCGACCCGCGACCCGCGACCCGCGACCCGCGACCCGCGACCCGCGACCATTAGGGAAACTCCGTATCACAGGGTTGCCCAGTGGATTTCTGATGACTCTCGGCAAAAAAGTGTTTCGCGGGAAACCATTAAATCATCTTTCCGTCTCTGTTCTCGTCAGTTTTGAATTTACTATTAGATACGAAATGCAGCTAGAGGGAAAAGCTCCTTTTAAACGAGGATTGGCAACGGCATTAACTTCATCAAGTACAAACAGCTACTTTTTAGCTTCAACCGTTGCCTGATTTCTTTCATAGTTTCCCTAGAAAACACTTTCCTACATAGAAAATCTACAAGGCAATCGTCATTAAACAGACAGGAGAGAGTTAAAATGGTCAACATAGCAAAAGTCAAACTTGTCAACTATACAGGTACTGTCGTTACCAGTTGGATTATTTAAAATGAACAAATAAATAAAGTAATCTAGAGTATATACAAATCAAGAAATCAAACGTGCATTTACCCTATTTGCAAGATACTTCCTTACTTCAGTTTTAAAATAACTAAAAGCTACAGAGTTCCTTGCAGCAGAGGGAAATGAATTAAAAACACTAGAGGCGCTGTCCTGGAAAGTACCCGACGCAAGGGGTGCTTTTAACGTCGTTTCTTTCGAAGATCTCAGTGTCCGTGTTGGATTATGAATGTGGGGCTTAAGATAGGACGGTCAGTCATTATAGCGCAAGGCTTTAAAAGCAGTGTTAAGTAACTGATACTCTCTGCGTTCCTTTATCGGCATCATCCTAGTTTGATTAGATACGGCATATGCACATAGCGCCTAAGAACGAAACCTGCAGCGGCTAACTGGACACGTTGTAGGCGCTTTAGTAGGTATTCCGGGATTGGATGACCAACAATGTTCATCAACTTACAAGCCTCGACTTGAAGGAAACATTAAAGAAAATTTGATCTTCCTTTCTAAATTCAAGTCCCAAGTTTTGTTCAATTTGTACATCCATGTGATTGGCTGTAAACAAATATTTTGCTGTTTTTCAGTGCGCCCACGATTGAAAAAATTAAAATCTGGCGGAGACAAATTTTGTCGAGGTTTTTGGTGCAACCAAACAAATTTTGTCAGCTCAGCGTGCCCGGACCCTTAGCGTTACTTTAATTTGCAAATAGGATATAGGAAGGTGTAACTATCATGATAACGATGATGATGGCCGTTAAAATATCTATGGCATTAACTTGTGCAACTGATGGCAGTTAAAATATCTATGGCATTAACTTGTGCAACTTTTTTGCTTTAGGAAAGAAAAACTTAGCTGTGAAGGACAAGAACGAGTTGTGCAAGAGACATTCAAGAAACATTTTTGTAGGCTCTCAAAAGCTTGCGTATTGACAATGTCGAATTGTAGATTAATTTCATTACTGAAAGTAATGTTATTATTTGTATACACAGACGTTGTTTTGACGAGGCCGAACAATAGCCGTGGAGGAGATATATATATAGGACATAGGGAGTCTGCAAGTCGATTTTCGCGTGGAACAGTGCTCAATACGTTGAAGCAGAGCGGAACAGATATTTTAAGAGGAAAAAAGGACGCAACTAAAATGTAGTCGCGTCCTTTTTTCCTCTTAAAGTATTTATATAGGACATATATATATATATAAGTGAAGGAATCAAAGAGGACGCATCGATTCTCTGTTACTCTGAGTTTCGCGCTTAAGCGCTCGTTTAGGCGCGAAACTCAGAGTAACAGAGAATCGATGCGTCCTCTTTGATTCCTTCACTTATATATACCCAGCTCTGCTACCACAGCATTGAGCACTTTATGCCAAGGTAGACTCTGCCCCCACATTTGTTTAGGACATATATATATATGCGGGCTCACTAGCAGGTTAAGGAGGAGGATTCGGAGGGTCCAAACCACCACCCTACCCTAATTGACTTGTGAGTGTTTTCACTTTTTGTCTGAAACCAAAATTCTGCCAATTACATTAAATTTGTCCTAATTTTTTTTTTATCTCGAAGCAATTAAACGTATTACCGTTAGTAGAGGGTTAAGTCTTTTCTCTGACTGTTGTTCTAGTATATTGAGTAACATAATAAAAGTACTTGTACTTTTTATGTTAGTGATGTTACTGTAGGATTACTGAATGATGTAAAAGTTCTTTAATCAAGTAACGTGATAGACAGTTGATCGTTTCGACCCTGGGCTTTTCTCGGGGCACTCATTTCGCAGGGGTGGGGCATGACCAATCTGGCGTTCCTTTTGAACTGATTGAAGCTCTTGGTGATTGTTGCTCCGACATATCACATATCCATGATCCATGTTTTAAGGTGTAGTCCAGACACACTCATCAAATTGATCTTCGGCAGAAATATTGGACAAGATGGCGGCCGCGCTTGCGCATTTCGTCCATAATGGCGTCTAAATAATATAAGAAACTGTATGGAAATTTGTAAAATTTCTAAAATATAACTAACAGGAGCTCATGGTCCCGTCTGCTCTCGATCGAGACATATTCAGTACTGATTCTGCTATTCATCAAACCTCACAGGGACTCGATAAATAAAAACCACTTACTTCCCGAGCCAGTTCTTTTGTCATTGATCATTGACCTAGGTCGCCATACAGTTCTTCAAAATCCGTCGTTCTCCATCCCAAACACTCGCCTATTACAGGAAAGTGCATCAATAAAGTCAACTGCTCTCGATCGAATTGACTGCTACAGTATGTGTGATGTTTACGGCTGAATAACCACTGAGACGTTCGGTAGAAACACAACGATATTTAATCAACCTGTGAGACGAAACCCGACTACAGAATAGCTTCTCTTCATAAGGACCGCGTGTGCATTCCGAACATTATGATTGGCAGCTGTCAGAAACACTACAGTATGCTCACTGCTTTTTCTTTTTCCTCTGCATAGGAGCGAGACAATTTGACACTAATTATATTCTCGCGTAAGTAATTTTAAAATACGAGCTAATCGGGTGCGACGCAAGTGAGAAAGAGAGAGGACCCTGAGAACGAAGTTGTGCTGCCTCCTGCACTGAATGATATATTTGACGTCACATCAGATGCGTGCCTCAAAGGCTGCTTGGTTACTAGATAAGCAGGAAAACAAGATGGCGCCGCTCGAAAGGTTATTTCGCGAAGTGATCTAGACTTTGGAGACTTTCCAACCAGATGGGAACGGCTGCTTCTGCAAATAGACGAGACTCGGACCTAATTAGTCCTAGGGCTGAGGCACTTGCCAAAGAAAACGGGGTAAGACAAACAGTATCGTATGTAACTTACAAATACAAACGTTGCTACCCAGTTGACCATCTGTACTCTGGTACTGTCCAGACGCTGCTCGACATCATGGAATCTATTTTTTAGATGTTGGCGATGAAAATCGGACGGTTTCTTAAACATGTTTCTCCTTTAATCTCCAAGGATTTTAAATCCTGCATGGGTTTCTTTTAGTTTCAAGCTGTTGAGTCTTCGCCACTTTATCTTTCTCACCATTGTCCGAAGACATGTTGTAAGTCAGACCTCAGACCTGATATATGAATCACATAGCACAGTCATGCCTCTTTGCAAAAAAAGCCTTTTTTTTCAACATCAAATCAACAGCAGCTGATGTTAGATTCCCCAGCCTTGATCGATTTAGGACATGGAACAGTTCGTTATCGTCTCCCAGATGAAAAGAGAGAACAGGAAAATATGAAAGTCAAAACAGGATACTTCTATCATCCTAGGCTTGATGACTTCAGCGAAGGTATGACTCATATACACAGATTTGACTGATGAACTTAATGCAAGTGGTGTTCCTAAACATGAAAAAATCCAATCATTTCCAAAACACGTATGTGTGGGTGAATGGAAAAAGATGAACCTAAATTAAGTTTTACTTTTGTGTTTCAATTTTATCCTGGGTTTGAATTGGTGTTTTGTTTGTTTTGGGTTGGTGATGCATATATTCTGTAATAGCATCTAACTCTTTCACTCCCAAGATTTGAGTAGTAATTCTCTTTACTGTCTGTCATACAATTCTTATGACGTTAATTTGAGAATTCAGTATTGGATCAATTAATAATCCCAAAGTAGATCTTTTTCTTTTTTTCCTCGTCACTTGTCTGGTTAATTATGTATTGATGTTGTAAGGAGAAACTATGTCTTGAGAGTGAAAGGGTTAGAAGAAAGGAAATATAATTAGAACCACAGATAAAATTGAATTATAAAATAATTCAAATAGTACGCACGCTCTGATTGGCCATAAAACCATTTTACATGAGTGTATGTAAACACGGTTTTTGTTCCTCTTTCATTAGTTATTTTATAAAAGAAATGTAAAGTGGTTTCCGTGTTTCTCGATAAGCTGGAAACCAGTCCGCTTCACATCATGGTTTCCTACTCTTATCTCATTTTCTCCCAACCTCCCGTGTGTTTACATAAGGCTATGTAAACACAGAAACCATTTTACATTTCTTCACCATAACATGTGAGTGTACACTTGATTTTACTGTATTCTCTTTTGCATGCATTTTAAATGTGGACAATTTTCTGCAATTCAATTTAATCTCATTTAAGTGCTTCATTTAAGAGCTGCATTTAAGAGCATCACATAAGTTAAGGTATACTACATGTATATTGAGTGTTGCACTACTTGTACAGTAAATGAGCAACAGCTATCAAAAATATTTTTCCATTGTAGTAGATTTTACTTTTGCAAAAATTGAATAACAAAGATAAAATCAATATATCACTTTTACTCTCCATTTTTTAAAGAGCCTTTATATTACTTTTTTTGCAAAGTACCCTGTGACTTGTGTTTTTCTGAATGCAGATGCTGAAGTGAGACCCGAAGACAGCTTTAAATTCCATTATGTGTTCAAAGGACCGAAGAAAGATGGTAAAGTAAAGCGATTATACTATGTTTATGGGACAAGCTTGTCAGCTAAAGATGAAGGAATCAAGCAAGAACCCCACAGGCCAGTAGGGAAAGGCTACAATTGGCCAGAATCCTATAGGAAGGCCAATAACTTGTATTATGAGTTGACCTTTGCTGACCAAGGTTAGAAATTGATTCCTCATATGATTATGCATGTGTGCCAAACACTGCACCACACCTATCTGACACAACAATTTAAAATAAAATTAAAAGTTCAAGGTTGCTTGAATAATCTGTCAATAAGGGAGACAATAAAAATTCTGGCAGGAAAAAATTTGCCAATTACAACTGTAATCATCTAGGAAAAGAAAGGTAGGAACTCCAAGTACATGACTGTACAGTTGCAGGAATCATGACAGTATGCAACCCAACAGGTGATGTACAGTTTAAGTGGAGTTGTTAATGTGGTGATTATCCATAGTGGTATGTTCTCAAAATGTGATGTTTTATGCCCACCAGACGTTTCCTTTGGAATTGGTGGTACATTCCTAAAATTAACAGTCCTAAAACATTAACTTACCCCTCTCACATAGTAACTGTTTAAGGCTTTGGAAGAGTTGGAGAAAGCTGGGGATAAGGCTAGGATGCTCTCAGTTTATCCCTTTAGTCACCCTTTGGTTATTGCAAGGATGATGCTGCCTTTCAAAAAGAACTAGGGCAGTTACCCATGTATTAAATTCAAAAGCCCTTATCTTATGGGTGGGAGAGGCCACCCTGCATTTGCTTGATAGGTAACCATGGCGTAATATAGATCATAATCAGATTCAGCTGTAGAATTAGGTCTATCAGCAATCACTAGTAAAGTATGTAAAGAAGCAAAGCACATTGCAATCTCCTTGAAAATTTTCCCACAACATCACATTGGTGAACCTGCTACATTGAATTGGTTTTCCCCTTATTACCTTTGACAGAATTAATGAGTCTAATAGCCTTTTAGGGGCAATGTTATTACATTTAGGGCAAGGTCACTCACCTTAGTGGGCTATATTTGTTGTGCAACATCATGGAAGGGGGGGGGGTCAAAAAATCTGTCTCACTATCTTCAAACTGCTGTTCCTTTAGGACATCCATTCTGCTGGTTCATTGGCTGCTGCTGACTATGTTTAAAGAAAGAGTTACATTAAACTTCTTGTAGAACAACATATATAAACAACTGTCATCAAGTTAGTTTTTTTTAAATTTATACATCAGGTGAGGATGATTTTACAGACTCAGACAGTGTAATGACTGGAGCAGATTCTCCAGAACTGACAGATTCTGTTGCTGATAAATATAAATTGAGGTATTGTATACTAAGTACATGAGTGTTTATCGCCCATACTATAATTGGGGAGGCAATGTGGCCGAGTGGTTACTGAGCACTGGACTTATAATCTGGTGGTACCCAGATTCAAGAATTCCACCCTGCTACTCTCTGAATTTGTTCTTAGTTGTTCCCAGTTCAAATCCTCAGCTAGTTGGGATTTTCAAACTTTGTTTATTTACAATTTGTTTGTATTGGCCTTGAACTGGGCCAATAGTGGGGGAGTGCTTAATTGATGTTATTATTTTATTATTATAATTATTATTATTATTATTATTATCATTATTATTATTATTATTATTATTATTATTATTATTATTATTATTATGTAAACTTAAAGTGCACTGTCTTAGATCTAAATTGAGAGTCCTACTACAAATTTGCTTTCTGTACACTTATTATGAAATAGATATTGAGAAGACAACAAATATATTGTATCCAACAGGATTGTTCTTGGGGAAATGGAAACAGTAGACTCTCTTAAGATGAGAATGGCCTTAAGACTGTTGATACCAGCAGTGAACTTTCATATCCTTCATAATAAAAAAGAGTTAAGGTATGTTGGCTCATCACCAATCAATTAATTTCCACCCATTTTTCTGTATGTTGTCAGAACAAAACTAGTTTTTTGGTTCCTATGTGGTATATACACTGTCCTAAAGCAATATGAATACAGTCTGAGGGTAGACTTAGTAGGGATAACTGGACATTATTTATGGATCATTGATCTCTCACTGAGTTTCTCTCTCTCTCAAATGCAAATGTTTAGTCTTTGTAAGTTTGCCTCACTATGATTTACAGCTTATAGTTTACTTTTCTGACTGGGAAAGGAGGCAGTCAAGTGAACAGGTTAAAACCAATTTAAGCATCAGACTTACCTGGTGAAAGCCCTAAAAGTGAGAGAATATCTGCATTTTCCTCAAGATTCCAATTTTACTCCCTCAGAGTGTTCTCATTTTGGTTGTTTTGCATGTTCTGGCAAAAAAAAGTTTTCTGCTTTGGTTGTACATATCTGTGTTATGCATGACATTGTTTCAAGTTTTGTTTGGTTCTTTCTTCTTTTCCATGAAATAATAGTTTTCATGACTATTTTCTTGATGTAGACCAGAAGACATTGTAGGAGATCTGAGGACACCTGAACAAGGAAACTGGAGGAAATTTGCTGTTGTTCTAAATCTAACTTAGTGACTTCATTGCAAATTCATGAGCAGATTCTCTTTCCTGAAAACTATGGGTTAAAACCTCAGCCTTGAGGCTATTTTGACTAACTTTTGTTTAGTGACAGAGGTCTTTTTTCAGCCTCTGATTCAAGTGCAACAAACTAATTGATTTTTGGCATGTTACTTTTGCTGACAATAGAGGAAAGATGACCTAACAGATTAAAAAACATCTACTTTGCTTGCTATTTTTTTCCCTTCTAGAGTGCAATTCACTCAGTGTTATGCTTGCTGATAATTTATGTTTTTTACATATGTTGTATTATGTGGTCATAATCAAATTTCTCAAGTTAAAAGAACCTTCTTACAAAAATCAGTTATTTTTGGGCACTTACAATTTATTTTTGTACTATTTAAGATTCTTTGTAATAATTTTGTGCTATTTAAGATTCTTTGTAATAATGCTTAGGGTAACATAAAAAAAAAAGAAAAAAGGGACACAAATTCACCTGTAGATAATCTCTAAAGAGGAAAAAATTGGGAATATTCTTCCCTAAACTGTGTAAATAAAGGAGTTAGTCAACCAGATAGCTTTGTGTACACATGAAGATAGCAACTGCAAAATCCTACTTCAACTTATCTGTCATATTGTAATGAATACCAATGAATACCAGGTTACCAATTAATTGACTTGTGTATCTCTAGAATTTGTGGAACACCCAGGTAATGATATGGATATTTAAGATCACAGTGACAGCTAGCTTTAATGGAGAGAGTGACAGAAGCAATTGGGAGTTATAGAGGTTACAGTGACAATGACGTCAGTTCAGAGACAGTGACAGCAGTAACAGAGACAGTGACAGCAGTTACAGGGTGACAGTTGTAACAGAGACAGTCACAGCAGTAACAGAGACAGTCACAGCAGTAACAGGGACAGTCAAAGCAGTAACAGACAGTTATGGCAGCTACAGAGTGACAGCTGTAACAGAGACAGTGCAAGCAGTAACAGAGACAGTGACAGCAGCTAATGAGTGACAGCAGTAACAGAGAGGGTGACAACAGTAACAGTGACAGCAGTAACAGAGACAATGACAGCAGTTACAGAGTGACGGCCGTAACAGAGACAGTGACAGCAGTTAATGAGTGACATCAGTAACAGATAGGGTGACAGCAGTAACAGAGAGTGATAGCAGTAACATAGAGTGACAGTAGTAACAGAGACAATGACTGTGTTTTTTGTTCTTCATTAAGTTTTGCCAACGCACGGGAAAAATTGTTAACAAACAGCGTACCGTTTTCTGCGTGAGATGTTCTTTGGAACGACTAGCGTTAAACGCTATCTCATTTTGAATGAAATTTTAAGCGGACTTTGTGCGTGGTGGACAAAAGGTTGGAGAAATAGGGAACACCAGTTGGGGCAACTATCCAGCACTTTCACCGACACTGAAGTGAATTATTGTTTACGTATATGCTATACAGAAACCAATAAAATTAGTACCGACAAGTGATCACAAGTAGCCACAGAAGAAACGAACAAAGACTTTTAAACATGTTAAACGGCGAAATTATAACGAGCTGAAAACCAAAGAGAACAGGAAATGGACTGTCGGAGTTTGTGAAGATTTTGACGCTTTAAGATTGCCTTGAGCTGGTGTCCTAGCGGATTTGGACCCCCCAGTCCAAATCCGTCAGCGGATGTGGACCCCCCTCCGCGGATTTGGACTCCCCAACAAAACTGAGCGAAAACATCATCCTTGACGTTCTAGTAAAAATAGATGATACTTCTGTTCCAGTGCTAGAGTTTGTTTTAATTCAAAACATGCGTATTGATGTTATCTTGTTCACATGATCCCGTCACAACTTAGGATTTTTGTTCACGTGAACGAAAGCGCTAAACTGTGGAATAAAAACGAACTGTGAAACTCGATAACGTTTGATTTCTGTTTTTCTCTTGAAAAAGGTGTGAAAGAGGAAATGAAAGATATGCTAACAGTAGGTGAGAAACGCGTGAAAGCTTTACTGTTTTCACTTCAGTGGAATCCCGATTGCTCGGGTCCTCGATTTCTCGTAACGCGCGATTACTCGAACTAAAAGTCGTTCCCCCTCCCCCAGTCCACCCAATTTCTGATTGGGTTGACTTTTACTAATTTTGATTTTCATTTCCTATGGAGACTCGAAAATCGGAATCCACTGTTCGTATTCCACAACGAAATTCTGTCGCTCCACTCACTACTGTTCAGTGAATCAATGAATCAATCAAACTTTATTTAAAGAGGGTGACACTTAATAACTAAAAACAAATTAACTTGTGGCCCTCTATAAACATTGTTACAATGAAAAAAACCTATTATAATTAATAACCTAATTAAGATTTAAATTAAAACCTAATTAAAAATCACAATGTACAACAAATCAAGATCTAAAAGTTAAAGGTGTAACATATTGCTCAGATAATGCGATCTAAGAAAAAATTATCTGAAAAAGGAGTAAAAGTCTTATCCCTAAGCTGACCTAATTTAAGATGTTTATATAAAGCATTCTTCAAAGTATTTACAGATTGAGAAGCGCGTAGCTTAAGGGGGAGGTGACTCCAACATGTTGAGGTCGTTGCAGAAAACGTGCGGCCTCCCTCTTTTTCTGTGGTGTATCTCCTAGGTGAAATGGTTAAGTTAGCACCTCGTGTATTTCTGTTGTGCTGGGTGTTGTTTAGTTCTAACAGTTCGTTTATAAAGGCAGGGCAAGTACCCATAATCCTCATCGCACCCACCCTAAAATATTAAATAGATCCATAATGCCATGGCGTTGTTGGGCGTCTAGGATGATTCTAGCACAGCGTTGCTGCAGCTTAAATATATTATTTATATTGTCATGACTGCAGCAGCTTGTCCATGTTACACTGCAATATAATATCAGTGGCTTAATTAAAGAATTATAATAAAGTATACGCTCTGTTCTTGGTAAGTAAGCCTTAATTCTGTTAAGTATGCCGACACGCTTTGAAATCTTCTTACATAAAGAGTCGATATGAACATCGAAACTGAGCTGTTCATCAAGTTCAAGGCTTAGCAGCTTGACGCTCTCGACCTGTTCTAACGTGCTTCTCTTGAGCTCCATCTTGCGATGAAGAGCTTGCGATCTTCATTACTTAAACGTTTTCGTAGGCGCGGTCCATCAATGAGTACTGTCTTCGTCTCGGAATAATTTAGTTGCAGTTTGTTGTTTGTTGCCCACTCATCAACGTTGGAGACTTCGCGTGAGAGAGTGTTCTTGAGCTCTTCTACATTTATATAATCGGAAGAAGCAAGGAGGGTGGTGTCGTCAGCAAACATGTCGATCTGCGTGTGGACATTTAAGGGTAAGTCATTGACGAACAACACAAAACAGGGGCAGATCCAGGAATTTTTGACTGGGGGGGTTCCAAACTCTGGTTCAGAAAGGACTGTTGGACACTTTTGAGGCAAATTACTTCTCCCCCACACCCCCCACACCCCCTCCCACCAGTCGCGGTTGCACGTTATAATTCCATGGCCGCTTACCGTTTACTTGGATTCTACTCGTAAAGGATGCACCCTTGGAACATTCTCCTCTTGTGTTTGGTTACAAGAATTGTACAGATTTCGTCAACATCAATGTCAAGGTCATGATGTAAGTGCACGAGTGCAAGTCCTGACAACCGCTCATCAGACATCCTGTTTCTGAGATATGACTTGATTCGTCGCAAGCCAGAGAATGAACGCTCAGCTTCGGCAGAACTAACAGGAAGGGTACAACCAATAATAAGCAAAATTCGTATGTTGGGGTACATATCCTCATCAGCATATTTTACACACTCAATAAGATTTCCCGGTAGCTGTAAAGTGGGTGTGTACTGTTTCCAAAAGTATTGCCATTCCCTTAACTCAGAAAGAAGAGAGGACGGTGTAGGTAAGTCCTGTTGCCAAAATTGCAGCTTTTCTGCTAAATTACGAAGACTGTCATGCTTCACCACGGCAGATGGAACTAAGGGAAAAATTTCGGCCCCTATCCTGTTGTCTTCGCTGAATCTTGAACTCATTTCTTCCAATAAATGTTCTATAAAAGGTATAGCAACGTTAACACGATAATGCGATTCCGGGTTTACGCTAGGTGCATTGTTCCTATGTTCCTGCCTCCCAGTGATTCTTGGTACTGAGACTGTAGCGCCAATCTTATCAGCTAGTATAGATGCGTCTTCAAGCCATTCATGACATTCTTCCTCTATGTTTGACCTCACTCTGGCAACTGCTTTAATAGTGTCATCAATCATAGAATACGCTCGGAAGACATCTTGGTCTTTCTTCTGAAGCTTGGCTGCAATAGGTTTGAGTGTTCCAAGGCTATTCTTTGTGATCAAAAAGGTGAAAATGAATCCGAATGTCTTCAAATTCGCCAGAAGACCTTGTGCCTTGGTTTTAGTCTCCCTGTCCCACGTGAACGATAACGAGGAATAAACATGAGGATGCGACCCATGATCAACTATCGCTTCCAAGCTTATGCAAACGTACGCGTAAAGTTCGGAGAAAGTCTCGTAACATTCATGCCTTTCCACCCATCGGGTTTTGCATAAGCCTTTTATAGCCTTTTATAGCCTTTTATAGCCTTTTATAGTCTTTTTTTTAGCCTTTCTGGAGGTAGAACCACACTTCTCTAAAACTTGTTCTAGAAATCACTGTCTTTTAGGTGAAAAATGAAAGAAAAGGAAAGTTTCATTTAAGGTTCCAATCATGTTTCTGACGGAAGTTAACCTGCATGCGGCTGCAACACTGAGATTCAAAACGTGACTGTTGCAATGAGTGTACAGTGCCATCGGTGCTATTCTCCTTATTCTTCCTTGCACACCACATGCTTCTGAGGACATGGCACTGGCACCATCATCATCATATTTGACATAGTCAAAAGATACTTCTTTGATTTTAGGTGAAACATCGTTGTTTAGATCTAAAAACCTAAGGCAAACACTTAATATTTCTTGGTTTGCGTATTTATCTATTACCTCATCGCCAATGATTGAGAAAAAAGCGTCTTCCCTCTGAATCGGCTGTGTAATTTTCGCCCGAATAAACTCTCCAGTGATGCGAATGACCTCCTCTTGTACAGGTTTTGAGGTGCTTGTAGCATTTCTCCCACAAGTAAGTAAGTGTTCTTTAAGATTTTTATCAGAGTTGCCCAATAGCATACGAATGGCATGAAAGTTGCCTTTGTTGGATGCCGTGCTTGTGCTGTCATCTCGATGGCCTCTAAGAGGGATGTTCTGTTTGCCACACAATATTATGGTACTTATGATTGCTCTAAGTGCGTTCATGTTTTTTCCAAATATCTCTTGGTTTTGCGTGGAAATCCTGTATGGCAAGGTTTCCTTTGGTTTTTGAATACTTCGGATTATGGCAATGCCGGCTTCAAGTGCCAACTGGTGATATTGCATTTTCTGATGACGCTCAAGTACCCTATCTTTCCCAGTGGCTTTTTCAAGCTTTTGGAATGGAGCTGTTACTAGTGGCCTTTTCTGTGCTCGAGGATCTGTGGATTATTATGCATCACACAATATTTGAAAAACCTCCCATTTGTGAAGGACTATATACAAGCCATGTATACTTTTCCAACCATGAACACAAGCTTCTTGGTATGTTTGTCTTTTCCCTCAACCACAGTCTTAGAGAAAAAGCCTGTGTATGAAGGAGGCGGAGCGAAATGGTTCTTAAGGTATTTAATTTTTTCGTGGGACTAAAGAGTTCTTGGATCAACTTTGCCACTTACGATGTCCCCGACATCAAAGTAGGATACAACATGCTGATCAGTGGAAGAAAATTGGGAAACTCCTATAAACTAAGGAAGTCGTTTATCGATAAATCGTCAAATTGATTTTTAACAGACTGTGATATGAAAACTGAACATTGACAAGCTAAATGCTTACTTTATCTGATAAATGTTTCTTAACTGACTTAACTGAGTCAACGTACTGCACCCTTTATTTGAGCATTGTTGACAGTGATATCAAATTCACTTGCTAAGGATAAAAATTCTGATCGATTTACTGTATTAAAGTCTAAGTTGAGAACGGAAACCTTGCAAAGTGTTTTGCACATTTCTTTAAGTGACTCTAAAGATAGCTCGTTTCCCTTTACAGCGATGAAAAACAGATTTGACAGCGGTAGTACAGACTGCAAGAGCTCACCCTCGTGAATAACTACCCTGTTAAGCGAAAGGAAAGTTAAATTTTTACAAAAAGAAATCGGGAATATGTCCTTTAATGCAATACAATCATTTAGGATCAAATACTCCAACTGGCACGTGCCTTACAAGAAGGTCAGATTAGATACCAACTGGCCACTCAAATTTAAATAGTTAAGTCCACGAGACAAACATAGACTGTTACAAATAGCATGAGCTATAGATTGTGTCTCCTTGACTCGACGTTTCTTGACATCAATATAGGCTACTGAGAAATTTCTGAAACCCCGTGCGTGCTGTATGATTGTCTTTAACTGATTCTCGCTTAAATGAGTGATGCCCCATTCATCTAGGCAAACATTGGTCCACAACATGTCACTTTCAGAGATACGTCTCCATCTTCTGCATACGAGCCTTAGCTTGTTTATTATCTCTTTAAGACTAAAATACTTGAATACGACACATAGAAGCTCATCTGGTAACGCTATGATGAGAAAAATTAAAATTGTCAAATTATGGGGCTAAAGCTTTGTCGAAAACTGAAAATTAATTTTAGATGATACGCTGTCTGTATGAAGAGTGAAAGAAATGCTTTAAAAAGATTACGAAATAGATTGGCATCGATAACAAAACTTTACTGAGATCGTCGTGTTCTTTGACCAAAGCAAAAATAACAGAAATCATGAGAAATTAAAAGTGGATTACACTGTCGCGTAATTTTACGCAAGTCAATGGGCGTGAATTTAACTAGCTTTTCGTGTGTGATGGCTTGCGTCTGCGGAAACTAAGAGTTGAACCACATTCAACTTTTTCCGCAGACGCAAGCCGTCCGTACATTTTTCTATTTATTTTCTATTTTTTAATTTTATTTTTTATTTTTTTCTATTTTTTTCTTTAAATAAAGTTTTTCTGTGTGGCACTAATGGCACCGCTTGCTTTTGTTGCTGTAGGCCGGGGCGGTCGCTAAAATACTCCAGTTTATTGTAAAATTGGTGTTGCTGTCTTTGAGTGTCCAGATATGCTTTGATAGTTCCGTGCTGTTTGAACAGTTTCTGTTCCGAAAAGAAAGTTTGTGTTGCGTGTAACGTTGCTTAAAAGTTCCTTCAGTAAGTCCAATGTAATTCTTTCCGGTTGTGTCATTTTCTGTTGTTACGTTGGCGTTGTAGACGACGCTTGAAGTGAGGCAGTTGTTTTTCAGAGGGCAGTTGTTTTTTTTCCTGCAGTTGCATTTGTTTTCCGTGGAGGGTGTCTTGCTTGTTTCGAGGATTTTTCTGTTGTGCTTCTTAATTATGGTTTGTAGGTTGTCTGTGCAGCTATAACTAACTTTCATGTTGTTTTTGTTGAAATTTTGCTGTACCGGTGATTTTTCGGGAAATGTTTACGCTATATTTATGTCTATACACACACACTCACACACACACACACACACACACACATATATATATATATTTATAATAAAGTTCGGATATAACGCGCGCTGTCATTGGTTGAAAGAGCGTGCTCTATGAGAGTATAGAGCATAGAACTGAGCTAAAGCTGTCACGCCATCTGCCAATCGTACTTTGTTCGACCTTTTCCGGGACTTCTTTTTAGCTTTTTCCCGATAATTGAAAGTGAAATTTCGGAACTGAAGCGAGCCGGCAAGTAGCAACAGAAGAATCAAACAAAGGTTTGTAAACATATCAGGCGCCGTAATTTACGTTATTAAAACGTGAGCAGATACGAAAATCCTCAAAGGAAAAACAAAATAAACATTCCGAGTTTTAAAGATTTTCATGGCCAGTTAGATTGCAAGCTTACGTACGGTAATAAAAATCAAACACGGCTAACACTCGTATAGTATATAAAGTTCAGTGTTCAAAAACAAAACAGAACAAAACAGAAATGATGAAAAATATAACCAAACTGGCATAATTATTAAAATTCATACTAATCATGACGGTGTCTGAGCGAATATGATCAGGCCGAAGTTCATCGCGGCTCGCTCATCATGGCGATCTCCGGTCATCACAGTAAAGCAAGCCTCAGAAACTACATCGGCCGCCCTCCGAGTGAAAAAATAAGAGCTTGCTCTGATATCCTTTCCGATACGTTGAGTGGCAATTCACATCAGTCACTGCAGCCGAGTTTTGCGGCTCGACTACGTCTCGTGTTTCTCCCTACACTTCTTTCGTGTTCTAGCCACTTCCTGCGTGCTTTATTACAAAACAGAGCACAGTCAAGGCTTCTCTATTTGTTAAATATATATATATATATATATAGAGGGAGTCTGCGAGTCGATTTTCGCGTGGAACAGTGCTCAATACGTTGAAGCAGAGCGGAATAAATATTTTAAGAAGAAAAAAGGACGCAACTACATTTTCGCCGAATTCTGTAAACTTTTGCGTCGAATCTAAATCGCCGTTTCATTGTCTTCTCACCGATTATTTGCCCTCGGTCCCTGAGTATTAGCCTGCGCTCGAGTATAGAGTGGGATCCGGGTGGAGGAATCCGAAGATAGCATTTTTGGACCTTTTTTGTTATATTCTTCTAGAGGAAATGAGAGAATCATTATTTTCTTGTTTTCTTGCAGTACTAAAGTAAGGACTCGTCTGTATGATATATGTCGTTACGAAGGGGGGCGGAATCGACGGCAGAGTGAATACGCTACATCTGTCACGTGACTCAAAGGGCCAAGGGTCTAATATTACTGTGTTGTGTAACGCAGCATTGAGGGTGGAATCCTATTCAATGACTTACAGCATGGCGCTATCGAAACACTCTTCTGATATTGAGGTACGCCTTGACAGTTTTTGATCATAAAAATGACATTCTCTACGTAGGAACTTTCTCTCTTCCTTGGTTTCGCCTTGGACCATGTGACGCACCATTCTTATGAAAGGAGCAGTTACGACTTCGAAGTGGGACTCAATATCACTTTATCTCTTATTAATTTGATCGTGATTTTGTTGATCGTGGTTTTATTGTTACCAATTTTCATTAAGTGAGGCATGACTACTCGAATAACTAAGCTTGAAAGAGAGAACGGCGTGCTGGTCATAAGATAGAATTGGGGCGTAAGATAGAATAATATGTATTGTCTGTAACTTGAACACTCGATGTTATAAGCTAGTTAGTCGAAGAAGCATATTTTGGGTAATTATTCGTCAGCTGGAATCGTTGAGGTGTGTACAATAGTTGTAAGTCTCGCGCAATTTAGTTCTTAGCGTAGCTGTAGAGTAGTTGTGTAACTGTTTGAACGCGCGATTTTTATACTTTGTAGTACCTATTTACTGAGGGGGAGGACTGGACGGGAGGTCCGTAAGTCATGACCGAGCGCTAGATATATTATTTTGGCCCTTTCTCTCAGTCAATCATACAAAATTGACGATCATTACAAACTTAACAATCATTGCAAATTGTATCCAAAGCACGGCCATGCCTCTACACCTCGCGAACTCAGAAAGCTGTCCATTGTAAATTAGGGGATATGTTCTGAGATTGTTCGAAGTGAAACTTAGCACACAAAATCCTCATACTGATTAATCAAATCTACAATTAATTTGAGAAACAGGAAGTCATCTGTCAAATTTATATTGAAAACTGTAACAGTTGCATAAGAACCCAGCAGTATATATATGACATGAACTGTCCACAACACAGCCATGATCCATAAACTGTCCCATCACTCTTTTCAATGACACTGTCCTGTAAGTGTTCAATTAGAGCATCACCAATCACAATTGAGAATTTTGTTTGATTATTATAGTTAATTCCCCCTATACTTCATTGCCCACCCAAACTGAACAACATCTTCATCAAAAAGTAGCCTGTGCACATTTTAAAACAAAATAATGCCATTATCATTGGTGAAGACCTGCAAGTGCTGTGAATTGTGATTTTCCTTAAAATGAGCCCAGTGATACCTTTTTTTTTTCACAATTTTGATGAGAGTTTTGTTTTTATACAGAAATACCTTATAAACTGAAACTCATTGTTGCATTGTTAGCAATGACTTAGATTGATATTACCTGGCCCATTTATCATAACAGAACCTACTTGCCCTCAATCCCAAGACAAAGCCACATGCAAGTTTGGTTTCTACATCAACAACAAAGTCCAACAGAAAATTTTGGAAGAGGAATCAGGAAAAGGGCTGTTCTGTAAGTGGCAGGTCTATGTTAATATACGCATTTGACGGTTAGCACAAAAAATCATTCTTAAGATTATTTGTGGAACCTCACTGCAAATGCCATAGTTGCTTCCTCTTAGATGATTCTTGAAATGTTTAATGGTGATAATTTTCTTAGCAATTTCACCTATACTTGGAAAGCTACATTAATTGTGCAACAGGATATAATGTTTAGTTAGTAATGGAATGCTTGATAATCATCCATTGCTCAGGTTTTCTGTACCTAATTTTGTTGTTATGTACATTGTACTTTACATTGATGCATATTATACTTTTTGTAATCCATTGCTTTCAATTGCAATATTGTGTGGCTGATGCTTGTGGCCAATATAACACAGACTTGGATTAGCTAAGTGCCAGGGCAAAAAGAGCATCACATTTCCACACTGCTCATAAGCTGATTATGGTCTTTCCTTATAAAAACCGGAAAGATGACTTATATGAGTACATGTACTGAAAATTAAAGAAAGCAGCTACACATGTGGGACACAATGGAAAAAGGAAGCAGCTAAGAGTACATTGATTCAGAAGTATTTACCTTGGAGAAAAAAATAACAACTCTGACAAGAAAACCCTGTGTTTAATAGGTAACCATCCAAAATAATTTTTTTGTGGGTCAACATGCACAGGTAGAGGTTTCAGAAAAGTTTGTGTAACCCTCATCATCTTTTCTGGATGTTATTTGCAAAGTTTTTGAGCTATCGGTGGTGAGAACAACCTGGTGTGCTAAGTTAATGCATTTTTAACAAAGAGGAACCAAGGGCAAAAATTCTTTCAACATTCTTCTGATTAAGAAATTTATTTACTACATTTCTTGAACTCAATTTGTTAGATTCCATTGTATGGCAGAAATATATAGCTATTATTACAAAAATTCAAAGTTTACTGAGTTGTATGTGTAGCCAAGTCAAAAAAGCACTGGTAGATTTGTCATACATCCATAGCAGAAGACAAAAAAAGATAATTATTTGTAAGATTCCAAAAATTGCACATGATAACCCTGTTATTAAGTAGTTAATAATACTATGCCTATGGTATTAATAAAGGTGGGATTGTTTACTTAATTTACTCTCCAAAGACAATCTGACTAACTGTTCAAACATTAAATCAGTAACTAAATAGGGTCATTTTACTTTTTGATCATGTTTTTTGATTGATCATTTAGAGTTGTGAAAGTCTTGTGAACAACTTTGATGATGTCAAACATACAACCTTGAGTGAAAGGGCAGCTTTAAGGGAGGCAGCAAGGTATCTTAAAGGTTATTTTTTGTACTTGTTGTATACTTAATATTTGACTGTGTAACTGAATTTTGTATTGTGCTAAGATATTTAATATGAGTTGTTATGGGTATCAATATCATTTATTAGGTTGCTAATTTATTTCAGCAACCTTGATTTCCATTGTTTGGGCTGTTGGTTGATACGCTCCTACCAACTACTGTTAGTGGCTCTTTTTTTTTTTTGATACTGAACTTTTGCCAAAGGAGTATTTAAAATGCCTTTCAAAGTGGTAAGATTCCTTCCCCGAATAACTAACCAATTTTATTTGTAGTGATAATTCCATTTCGATATAGGGTTTCTATACCTAGTGTTAAGCTAGTTAAAAAATGATTAAATGTTCATTCATCATTCTTAGGTGATTGTTCAGAGTGAATGCTTTTTTTACAGATGTCTCAAGTGTGCTGATGCTCCTTGCCAGAAGAGTTGTCCAACACAGTTGGATATCAAGTCATTTATCACCAGCATTGCCAATAAGGTATAAGCATTTCTTGCTTAGTGAAACCTACCAACTGACATTTCTTTTTAATGTTCTGGAATGGTTACAAAGTGTTACAAATGAAAACTTTTGAAAATGAAAATGTTTTGGTCAGACTGATGAGCAGCAAAATGCAATCATGGCTTCTCTCTTTAGTTGCTAATTGTAAATATGTAGCAGATCATGATGTGGCTCTATTAGGGTTGTTCCCACTTGGATTGTTCTCATTGTTGATGTTTAATAGAACTATTACGGAGCAGCAAAGGCGATCTTGAGTGATAATCCCCTTGGTCTGACCTGTGGTATGGTATGCCCTACAAGTGACCTTTGTGTAGGGGGCTGTAATTTGTATGCCTCTGAGGAGGGACCCATTAACATTGGTGGCTTGCAGCAGTTTGCTACAGAGGTAACTTAAGATTTACTTTAGATTTAGCTATACTGAGCTGCTTAGAGAACTCATAAACCATCTTGATTTTTAAAATTAGGAAATGTTTTCAAGTCTTGTTCTGGTCATTTTCACCTCCCAGCTTGAAAGGTATGAGGTGGGATCCTACCAAACCCACCTGGGATTTTGGAACATCCACAGTGGAATTTTGCCTAAATATTCAGGCTGGAACCCATAAATTCCACCCGCAACTCCAGATGGGATTCTGCCTAAATTTTCATGTGAGATCCCATCAATCCCACAGGCAGTGTCAAAATTAGTTGACACATTATGTTTTGAGAGTTCCATTTATGTGTAGAATAACACACCTGTTTCTTCCACACTTATAATGATCAACAAGACCCACTTCTCCTATTCAATGTTGGCTAAAAGTTCATGGAACCATGGTACAAAATTGTTTTTGGGGGGAAGGGTGTGAATAGATTAACTTAACAAGGGCAAAAGAGATCAATTGAAGTAAATGGGGGTTGACAAGTTCAAAGTGTCAACATGCCAACTATAGGTGCAACCCCAGATGTGATTGCATTTCACCTGCCATACAGTACCAGATAGGATCCTGCCTCACCCCCTTACATAATCCAGGGTGGAATCCTGCCTCAGCCCCCATACAATCCAAGTTGAGATCTCAAAAATATCACCAAACTGTGATAGGATCCCTACAATCCTAGGTGGGATCCTTCCTTCCTCACTTGGGATCCCATCTTACATCCCATATTACAGTCTTCAGGTGGGATCCCAGCTGGGAATATTAAGCATCCTATACAAAATCCAAGTTAATAGGGAGCTTATGAATTGATGACTTCTTTCTCGACGATGACTTAATGTGATGTTATTGACTTTGTCGTTGCTATTTGTAATTGCGCGCCAAATTTAGCTTATGAGTTGTGGACATCGACGTGGAGATTCCCCACCAAATTTAAGTCACAGACTGACTTTTTTTATTTAGAAATAGTTTTATGAACATGTTGATTAAAATGTCAAACTTCAGAGAGAACAGACAGTGCATCACATATGCCTACAGAAAAGGATTTATCAACAACAGGCAGTGTGTTTTGCTGTATGATGCCAATACTTCGAAAAAACCTGGACTTTCCATATTGGAAGTATGATCAATTTGATTTGGATGAGCTGGGAAATGACCAGTGCAAGGCTGAATTCCAATTTTACAAAAATGACATTTTCAAACTTGCTGAATATCTTCAATTACCAGATGAGATTGTTACTTACAACAGCCTAGTAGTTGGATCAGCTCCTGCTTTATGTATCTATCTCAAGTGCTTTATGTATCCTTGCCATTATGGGAACATGGTTTCTCACTTTGCTAGACCTGTTCCGGAGCTTTGTATTATTACAAACCACATGATTGACTGGATCTATAACTGATGGCATCACTTACTCTCAAGATATAATCATGACCTGCTTTCCCCGGCAAATCTTATGTTTTAAGCTGATGCGATATATCGATCAGGCGAAGCTTTGGAAAACTACAGGGGTTTATTGATGGAACAGTGCGGCCAGTGTGTAGGCCAGGAGAAAATCAGAGAGCCATTTTTAATGGACAAAAAAGAATACATTCCATAAAATTCCAATCAGGAGGGTTGCCTAATTGGCTGGTTGGTCATTTATATGGTTCAGTAGAAGGAAATGTCATGACAGTGGTATGCTGACCTCGTCTGGGCTTTTACAGGACCTGCAAAGATTTTCTAATTCACCAGTTACTGGTTTACCCATGTGTGTGTAGGGTGACCCAGCATACCCTCTTAGAGCACACTTACAGGGACCTTACAAGGGAGAAGTGTTGACACTACATCAACAAGAATTCAACAAATCTATGAGCAGTGCCCGTGTTTCAGTTGAATGGGTTTTTAATGATGTAATCAACTGTTTCAAATTTTTGGATTTTAAAAAGAACCTTAAAGTTGGTTTAAGTGCTGTGGGTAAAATGTACATAGTTCATGCCCTGATGCAAAATGCCCACACTATTTTATATGGTTCTGTTACCTCAGAGTACTTTGGTATCAATCCACCAGCTTTAGATGACTATTTCATCTAACTATTAGAACGATAAAACGTGAAAGGGATTACACAAGCAAGGACATACATCAGGATACATTTCAAAATCAAAACATTTCATGATTCATCAAATTTTGGACATTAGAAAGCATTGATGAATAACAGCTTTGTAAAAATTCCAGGAGAGATGGTAAAAAACCCTCTCGTCATCAGAAGCAAGCTTGCACGATTTAGCTTTGTATGTACAGTATAATAAAAACAACAAAAAATCAACCTGGTGAATTCAATGTCCCTTTTTCAAGAGTTCAAGTAGTGGTTGGCTACATGTATGTTGTTGTTGCTGCATAAACATTTGACACATCATCTGGAACTGCTCTTGTTGATTTTTCACCTGGTCTTAAAATTGCCTGGACATTTCTTTCTGTTGTTGAAACATCAGGTTTTGTTGTGCCAATGCCCTTTCTTGTTTCTTTCTAAATTCTAGTTCTTCCTTCTTCAGCTCACATTCCTTCTCTGTTGCTCCTCTTAAATAGTCCATCATTTCGTTTGGTGTATGTTTGCTTTTCTTCCGCGGTTGATCATCTCCTGCTCTTTTCTTTGTCTCACCAAGACATTCCCTTCACGACTTCCAATTTTTTATTTCCACAGTTCAAACAGCATAACCTCTTTTCCCAACAAGAAATTGTGTTCTTTTGTCCATTTCATCACTGAGTTCCTGAAATAGCAGTTAATATCTAATCAAAGACAGTATATTTTAAAGGACTGAAATATCAAACTTAGACATGAGTATTCAATTGACAAAAATTTTCAGTATGTCTGACTGAATCTTCGCATTGCTAGTGCTGCATCTTGTGACTACTTGGAAGCATTGAAAGAACATTTGTTTACTATTCAAAACTAATTTATAGCCAATGAATGGATAAAAACTTAGAACCTTTGAATGAAGAAGACTAGTTTCTTTTACACTTTATCTCTCTTGGTATCTGAATTGACCTTAAAATGCCAATGTCCCTTTTTATTTATTCCCTTACCATGTGTTTGAAGGGCTTGGGTCATTCTTTTTGCAGTTTGACATCTTTCCTATTTGATAAATAAGAACTATGGTGTGAATAACATTCAATGAAGCAAAAAGCTGTTTCAGGGAAGCTCCTGTTAGTATATTTGGAAGGTGTTTGTAGATTGAGTGTTAGATTCAGCAAATATTCCAAACAAAAGGTACCTTTTGATGTGCTGCTACAAAGAGGACTTCAAAACAGCTCTTCTGAAGTAGTTGCGTCCTTCAAGATGATGCATGAAATAATGCCACATCTGGTAGCGCATGTGCATAAACTACTTCTAGTGTTGATACCTCGTCATCCTCTGGGAAGTCATTGATTTGTAAGCTCCCTAATATCCCATGTAGGACTCTTCTCAAATTTCTAATGATGTTGGAAATTTAGAATGGTGTCTATGAATTGAAGAACTTTTGAAATAGGTAAAAGCTAATAGTGCTTCATGTGTAGTCTAAGAGAATTAAATATTTTAAAATGTTTTAAATTGTCTACATGTATCTCACTGAAATATTCCAAAAAATTTAGATGCAAGTGTGTATCGGTATTTAATTTATAAGTTGATCTGAATGAGTCCATCACCCACCTGCACTTAAGTATACTTACACTTAAATAGTTAGTAAATAACTATACAGAATTTAATTAACAGTTTTTTATTAAAATTATGAATAGGGATTTCAATAGAAATCTTTATTTTCACTGTTAGATTTTTAAGAAGATGAGAATTGGACAAGTACGTGATCCTTCAGTGGTTTCTGTTGACCAGCTTCCTGAGAGTTACTACTCTAAGGTGAGCAGTAGTTGTTGGGCAAGTATCCAATGTAAGCTTTTGAAACATTTGTAATAAGGTAATTGATACAACACTATATCAGGAAGGTACTCAAGTTTTGAGTGTTACTCTCTCTGAATATCAATTGGTTTTTAGCTTGGTTTTATTTTATACTCCCCATAGGTGGCGTTGATCGGATGTGGTCCTGCATCAATAAGTTGTGCAACATTTTTGGCTCGTCTTGGTTACACAAACTTGACAGTATTTGAAAAAGAGAATTATATTGGTGGTTTAAGGTATCTAATTACACTTTTATTCAGTATCAATGTGGTCCTTTTTGTGGAAAATGAACAGAACATCTACATGTAGGTCATGGTCTTCTTGATGTACACAGAGTTAAACCTTGTTTGAAGTCATCTACAGTTGCAGGACTAATTTTTTCAGAAGGAGGAGCTAAATTGAATCATTTTGTTGTAAGGATTGAAATCAAACCATTATGTTAAGTTACAGTACATGCAGTCTTTGTGTTGGAGCTGTAATTTATGAGTCTGTAATGTGATATTAATCTTATTTAAAGGAAATGACAACTTAATTTGTTTTAAAAACCTTAAAGCTGCATTGAGGTCAGACCAAAACTGAATGAATGATATAGCATGACTTATCCAATGGTGAACTACATGCATTTATACTCTTCATTTGTTATGCCATGTTTGAGGGAGATGCTCATGTACTCTCTGGTAAAGTTGTCAAACAGATACATTTACATTTACATGGAGACCACAATTTTCTGGGATAGTATATCTACATAATCATTATATCATTCCTTTGCCCCCTCCTCTCAGCTCCTCTACAATCTGTGCTTTTTTTCTGTGATATTGCAACATCAAATTTGGAAACACAGCTGGGCTATTGGTGGCAACCAGCTCTTCATTTTAATTTTTGGCTCTTGATACTTCCCTAGAAGTAGCTTTGTGGATATTGTGTTATGGCAGATTGTAGCTGTAGAGTCTGGTCCAACGTCTTGCAACTTTTGCTACACAAGTAGAAATGGTGCAAGGCAAGGTGCTTGCACCAGCAGACTTGCTTGAAAGATAGTAGGGTAGAATTCATACAGCTGTTTACATCATACTGGATATATTATTATGGGCATCACCAGCATATTGATCACCACCTCTTGAAATATGGAGTAAGTAAGAATTCTCATAGGAATGCTGTACTCGTAATCTGACAGACATACATACATTGGCTGCTCTAATCAAACTACTGTGATTTTGTTTCTAAACAGCTCCTCAGAGATTCCACAATACAGGCTTCCATATGATGCAGTTAACTTTGAAGTGGAACTCATGAAGGACCTTGGAGTCAAGGTAACCAATTTTGTTTTTCTTCATGCAAATTGTAAAGCATTTTGTTGTATGCTTTGTTAATAAACTTTAGTCTAAGTAGTAAAGTTTAGATGTCAGAAGTGTCATTGTAGAGTAGGTGGCCTGTTCGTAGACAAAACTTAGGGTGGCTAGTAGCAACAACAGACTGGGGTACTTTGAGTACCCCTTGAAAATGACACACTTACACCTTTGGATACTTGTGCTGCTCTTATGTACCTTAGCTCAAGATTCTAGAATACTCCACTATGAGCTAACTTTGGGAATGTATCCAGCAAATTACATTCAGGGATTTACACATGCTTTGAAAGTGAAGTTGTTAGATGTAACCAAAAAATCTGTTAGGTCATTGTTGAATGGGTAGTCTCGTAGAATGTTTTGGAAGGACAGTAGGCAGGCAAAGAAATTTTTCGGTATTATGCATTTTAAATTTCTTGTAAGTTTATTGTTCTTGATAGGTCTTTACTTTTCTCTGAAAAATTTGGATGTATTTCTTGAACATGATTTTATTTCATGTAACCCATGCATAATTCTGCCAACCCTCTGGTTGCTTAACCTCAGCTATGTTGATATCTCTGAATGATGGTATTTGATATAGATATATGTGGAGATCATGCTTGTCTCCTAAAAAAAAAAATGCAAACAAATTTAATCCAACCTTGCTGTTGATATTTCAGATTGAACTTGGTAAAGGTTTAGGTAAAGATGGACTTTCCATCAAAGCTCTCTGGGAAGCAGGGTATGAAAGCATCTTTATTGGTATTGGTAAGATCTCTTCCATCTTTTGATTTTATGACAGTGATTTTTGAGAGACTGTGGATTTTCTGTTTGTTTTACAAAATACTGATTAAGGAGAAGGTAGCTTCTTTGCTGAGTCTGATATGAATATTATCACCTTCACATAGGTTTTAAAATAATCAACTTTTATCGTCTCCAATTTAGAGGTAAACAATTAAAGGTACTCTCTATAAAAATCATCCCACTGGTTGAGTCAAGTTATGTGAATTTGACTGCTGAAAAGCTGGGGGTGATCTCTGTCTGACTTTGTTTATCTATTTATCAAGATGACTTTTGACCGCTGACCTTGAAAAGCTATTTTGATGTGTATTTCCCACAGCTAAACAGATTGCAAGGATGATCAGTAATTTTAGAGTGGATGTACATGTAATAATATGTAGTTTGTGTATATCACATAATGACACAGAATATGTGGTTGCTAACCAGGTCTGCCTCAGCCCAAGCTATCACCAGTGTTTGCTGGGTTAAATGTGCAGAATGGATTCTACACGTCTAAAGATTTCCTACCAGTGGTATCTATGGGAAGCAAGGCTGGTAAATGGACTTAATATCTTGAAAACAGTGTTCTCTGGGAGGAACTTAGCACAGAATTTACTCTCATCGTTAGATATACATTCTGTCTAATGGTTACCTTGCTCTGCTTCCCTATGTAATCAATCTTAGCCAGTCTGTGCACAGCCATTTCCCAACTTCCTTTATGTAGTTAAATGTGCATGTGTGAGAACAAGTGCACTTGTGAGAACAAGTGCACGTGTGAGAACAAGTGCACGCGTGAGAACAAGTGCACTTGTGAGAACAAGTGCACGTGTGAGAACAAGTGCACGTGTGAGAACAAGTGCACGTGTGAGAACAAGTGCACGTGTGAGAACAAGTGCACGTGTGAGAACAAGGGCTAAAAACGTCAGTGGCCACTGAGAGGCAGGAAATATGAAATATCTGTGGGCTTGGAATAACATACATCCTCGACTCCTCCTCCTTGTCATCACCAATTATCATTCTTGGTGTGGTGTTTTTAAGCAAATCAAACCAGTGAAATTTGAGATTATCATTGGTTACACAAAAGACCCTTCAAACTTAAATTATCTACGGTGTTACACTTCTTTTCCCCCCCTCCCCTCCCTACTTTTATCTGTTCAGCTACTCTGCTTGTACTCATTAAATCCATTGAGGCCCCCAAACTGAAACTAGACTGAAACTGAGTTCAAACTTTGTTGAAGTAAATGTCTCAAATTGTTCAGAAAAGCTTACAGACTGAGGAGGACAAAATGACTCACTGATAGATAACATTATTAAGTTCAAAAGCTTAGATAACGTGAGCTAAGGAGATATGATAGGATTTTAAAAGTCAATGTTTCCTTGTAGGTATGTGTTCCTGTAAGGCAAAACTACCAGAACTCTTTGGACATGTGATTGTCCTTGGGTGTGGAGACACAGCCTTTGACTGTTGTACTTCTGCTCTCCGTTGTGGAGCTCGCAAAGTATCAGTCATCTTCAGAAAAGGCTTCACTAACATAAGAGCAGTGCCAGAAGAGGTCAGTTAGGTTATTTTCTTCTCGGTACATGTTATTAGAGGTTAACAAAGGGAAAGTTTGATTGCTAGTCAAACTTTCAACAACTTGCAACTCAAATGATGCAGATAGCATTTTCTAACTACAACTCAAATTTCCCAGATAAAACACAATGAAAGACAAACACATTTTCTTTCAATCAGCTTTACTTTGTATCTTCCACAATTTTGACTGTAACTTGGCTGGTGGTATTTGTCCCATGGAATGCCACTGACAAATTGCTGGTCTACCATGGTTACTTGAAGAAGTGATGGGCATGGCAGAGTGGTGAAGCGAGGGTGGTTCAGGTCTTGTAGAATGCGGTCTATTTGCTCACAGTTATTATCAAATTGCTTTGACGTTGGTGTCTTCACTCAACTTCAATCTGACTGACCCTTTCTTGATCTCAGTTTACAACCTCCTGAAATGGAGAGTATGCTTCTTAAAAAAATGGTGCAGTTTCTATTCTTCTTTTGGATCCTTTAATTTTATTAAGGAGTTTGAATTCTAACGTGAGGTATAACAATGACCAATGTTGAGCCAAATTCTGCGAATGGATTGTTGCAAACATGGTATACATGTACTGTAGTTCTATGTGCATATCATGGCCTCAGGGTGATTGACTTTCTTTACTTACTATAGATGCAACTGGCTGTCGAAGAGAAGTGTGAATTCTTGCCTTTTCTGTCACCAAAAAAGGTTTGGAACTCATCTTGTCTTTTTTCCTTTTTGTAACCTGGTAATTCACTTAGTTAAATTTATCTTAAAAATTGAGTTTAAGGTTAATGGTGCCAATTATGTTTGGTATATGAATTTAAGGTTCATGTTAAAGATGGAAAAATCTGCGCTATGGAGTTCAGCAAAACAGAGCAGGTTTGTTTGCAATCTCAACATCAGTTTTATTGTGTTATGTTTAGATATAATTGTCAATTAACTGTGATCGATGTTTATGATGCCTTTTAATTTAGTTGGACGATGGTTCATGGATTGAAGATGAAGAACAGACTCTAAAGATAAAAGTAAACTTTGTCATTTCAGCGTTTGGTTCCACTCTTGCTGATAATGATGGTAAGGGACTGTTACTGTAGTGAACTCCTTTTTGACCACCTTGCACACTCGTGATGAAATGTTTGATGCGAAATTTATATCCACATGGGTCCTTCATCTATTGATAACAGAGTTCCGTGGTTAGTCGAGGATTCGTGTCTTCTGACAGTAATTTTTTTTTTCTTTGGAGGACATAAAGGGGGATATCGCGAAAATGAACGCATTGCATTTATATGTTTCTTAATAGGACTATTTTAACAGAAGAACTGGGCTCCATACTAAATGAATAAATGACTCTGAGTAGAGTGGCTCATTACCACTGGGATTCTGTGTTAAGATCTGAGTTGATTCCTTTTTCAATCCTTTTTTCCATTCATGACTGACCTAGATGATGATCCTATTTTGGCCTAAGTCTCCGTGGACATGTTCTGTTTAGACATTTTTCTCATAGTAATATATTTTGTAGCAAATGGTATTTAGTAAGTAGCAAGCCAGGTTGAATATTGCTCAAAAGGCAGACCGTGATTTGGTGTACCCTTTGAGATTATGATATTTTGATTCTTTTTTGACGCAGTACAGGTCCATTACATTACATTTTATATTCCATTGCTTCAATTTCGCATAAAACATGTGAATACGTGGTGAAGATGCAAGTATTGAATAATTGCAAACATTGAATGATGCTGCAAGAAATTTTCAGTGAACAACATATAGTGTTGTAGATACAGAAGCAGTTCATGTACATTGTGGATTGTAATTGTAACAGTTATCAAAGCCATGGCACCTTTGAAGTTCAGTAAATGGGGACTCCCAGAGGTGGATCCACACACAATGAGTTCGAGTGAGCCTGGAATATTTTGTGGAGGAGACATTGCTGGAGTGGCGAACACAACAGTGGAAAGTGTTAATGATGGAAAGCAAGCTGCCTGGCATATTCACAAGTATTTACAGGTTTGTCCTTTTCTCACAGTAGAGTGGACAGAAATGTCCTGATTGATTTATTTTCATGCTATTTGTTAGAGGCTCACTAAAAGCGGTTAATAGCTCTAACGCATGATGATGTCTGTCATTTACTGAAAATTCACCCCAAGCCTCGTTTGTACTAAAATATTGTGCCAAAATATCAGTCTTAAGTTATTTTAATATGAGTTATTTTATCGATGTTTTCATGAGGGTATTCTTTCGATTTCAGTGTTCTAGGAATAATTTCTGATTAACAATCAACAGTCCGCACTTTGAAAGCGAGGCTAGGGGGTGAAATTGTATATTCCTACGTAAATGTGCACAAGACTCATTTATGATAACACGGATTGAAACTTAATAAAGACTGAGGTAAACTCTTTCGCTACTTAGCCTAAGCACAATTATTTGTCTTGACTTCCTGTTCCTCTGTTTTAAGACACTTTTTCTTGAACCTGTGTTCTATCACGCTGTTGTGTGCAATCCGAACCCTGGAACAAGCTGGGTACTTTCACTGAATATTTCCATTCCATCTGTCAGCGTATTAACAAATCATTTAACAAATCATTTTAAAATCTGCTACCTCTCAACCCCTTATTGCTCCCTATCTGTTACATAATTACATCCTAAATTTTCTTTCAGTACCAGTCTTGTGTAATGAATTTGTCTAAGTGTCATTTACATCATTAATTTTTCTTGTTGTGTTCATGGATACAACCTCGATTAGGTGTTTTCAAATCACCTACTGATGACTGCATACTTTTTAAAAACTGTGAAATTGACAAAATGCAGTGCGCTTGGTAGAAAAGGAAAAACTTTAGACCGCGAGGTTGACTAAGGTTCATAACGCTTCAGGTACGGCTAGCATTTAAGCTGACTCTTACCAGGTCAGTGAACTGTAATGATCATTTCAAAGTTTTCCTTCTGGACTTGAGGAACCTCTTTACGTTCACATTCGCAACAAAATTTCATAAATTCATTCATGTGTGTACTCTTTTCGCGGTACGTGATAATTTATCTGTGGCTATTGGAAACGAAAAAATTTCATAACGCAGTGCAGTGCTCGTCCTAAACTCGCTACTCGGCTCTGCCATTCTGCGTTCTTGGCTGCCTGCGTGGCAGAATTGATACACTTTCAAGGAATGATATTCCTCGTAGCAGATCTGCATAAACTGACTCACTCTGTCTTGGTAGTATCTCGACGTTTTACGATTTAATTTAGTGGAAACCTTTGTCTTTCTGTGTGTCACGGTTGCTTTCTCTCTCTTTGGATGCTCGTACAAATCAAGACTACTCAAATTTGGTGCGTTCCTTTAGTAAACAGAAACTATATTCTTACTTTTGAATATGATTTACGTACATTGTTTACCTCTCCTTCTAATGTCTATTGTATCAAACCCTGGAGACCATCACTAACCTTTCTTTAAACGGATGAAAGTCTGTCCTTTTGCTTATCAGATGACTTTTTGAACCAGTGTAGATTCTCTCTCACGTTACTAGATGAATTGTAACAACATAATTGAACTGTTGTCACAGGCACTATACGGCTTACCAGTACCAAAGGAGCCATGTTTGCCGAAGTTCTACACTCCTATAGATGAAGTAGACCTCAGTATAGACATATGTGGATTAAAGTTTGTTAATCCATTTGGCTTAGCAAGTGCACCTCCAACTACCAGTGCTGCCATGATCAGACGAGGATTTGAAGCTGGCTGGGGATTTGCCGTAACGAAGACTTTTGCACTTGACAAGGTAATAAAAGATTTGCGCGCCCTTAGTCATCATCTGATTGTCGCAGGTTATATCACCAGCGTTAACGTCGAAAAAAACAGAACATGAACTTAAAAATGTTTGGCAAGAATAGTTGGACTTGTCGTTGACATTTGCTTTCAAGTTTTCACTAAGTGTAAACTTGAAAGCACTTTGTAAACTTGAAAGCACTGTCGCTATCGAAGGAGACTTAATAAGACTAGCAGATAGTTCTGTGGGAAGAAAATTAATTGTTTTCGTTAAATAACATTATCTGATCTGAGAGGAAGTCAGAATCCCAATATTTAGAAAGATACTGTCATGGAAAAAACTGTAGCCATACTGCACCTGCTTACGTAGCTATGCAAATTTCTAATCTTTCCGCTTGTGTTTAAGGATGTTTTGTTGTTGTTTTTCCAATATAGGACATTGTAACTAACGTGTCACCTCGCATAGTGCGCGGAACAACCTCAGGTCATCTGTATGGCCCAGGTCAAGGTGCTTTTCTCAACATAGAACTCATCAGTGAAAAGACAGCAGCTTATTGGTGTCGCTCTGTGACAGAGCTCAAGAAAGATTTTCCCGACAAGGTTTGTGTTATTTGTAAGCGGATATATTTTTTTACTGTTAACTGGTTCACAGAGATATTAATTTAGGTTAAAGTTGAAACCTTGTTCATAGGGGATAGAATATGTGGCTGTTTGTAAAAAGTACCCATTTACACCCCTTTGCGGTGTTGTTTGAACAAATTTTATCCGATGAAAACAAAGAAGTTTTTAATTAAGTGATATCGAAACTGTGAAAGTTCGAATGGGGGTCTTAATCGGATGTTCCCACCATTTTCCCAATAATTCTAGTATGGCTGTAGTTGTCAGTTATGGCTTCAACGCTTGAAAACAACACATTTAAGTATTTTTAATTTTAAAGTTTTTTGGTGGAAACACGTAATTCCAAATTTTACATTGTCTGCAAAAGAAATTTATTATGCTCTGAAAACTGAAATGGAGAAATGACAGTAGCTGATTTAAGTTGATAAATTTGTCCGGAGATGGTTTTACGTCATATGTATTTCGTTCATGAAAATATGATTCATAATTTCTATTGTAGGATAATAAGGTTAAGACTCTCATTTTTGTCTTGCCAGATCGTAATTGCCAGCATTATGTGTGGATATTCCAAGGAAGACTGGACTGAATTGGCTAAAATGGCCGAGGTAATTTAATTTGTCTGAAAAATTAAAATCTACTCGCCAAGGTCTTGTGTAACAAACAAGGTATAGAATCCATTAGTAACTTGGAGAAAAACAAAATTAATGTGGTGAAAACTAATTTCTCATCCAGTCAAAATTGTTAATGACAAAAATTCTCAGTAAACAAAATCCTATCAAACTAGTAAATCAGTCTGCGAATGCCCCACTGTTTTTGACTAAAGGAATTAGAAACTAAAATGTCGCCTGAAAAACAGAACAGCCGTTGTTGCTTGAATTTTATTCTGATTTCGAAAATAAAGTAATTCAAAGAGCATTGTGTTGTTATCATTGTTATGACAAGTGTCAGTCCAAACCCAGTAACAACTGAGTATATCATGACTTTAATTCTCATATGAAATTATGTTCTGTCAAAGTTAAATGTTTAGTTTAGAAAGGTTCAACTTAAGCAAATTGTTACACCTGAATCATTTGTTAAATGATTCTCTTACAGGATTCAGGAGCAGATGCACTAGAATTAAACTTATCATGTCCACATGGAATGGGAGAGAGAGGCATGGGTCTAGCTTGTGGTCAGGTGTGGGTGGCTCTCCTTGCATTTTCCGTTATATTCAACCAACTGAACCATATTAGTCTCGCACGTTATGTTACATTGGGAAAATATTTCCATTTGGGTGCATTTATTTAGCATAGTCGTTTGTTTTTCTTTTCTTTTTTTTTTTTGCAGATTAACTAAAGTTTAGGGTATTTCAGAAAGCATCGATGGAGATAAAATAGGGTGGAAATTTTAAAGGAGTTTTTGGCAGTTCAGATTGCGATTTTTTGAAAAAGGTTCTAAGAGAAAACGTTTGTGGTTTTGTGGCAATTTCATGTTAAGGATTATCCCGACCAGTGTGAAAGAAAAGAGCTTTGACAAGCAGACTGAGTTGTCTAGTTTGCAACATGTACATTTTCCATGATGAACTGCGCTTGTTGTCGCCAATTTTGACAAATATTTGCCAACATATTTGAACGTTATTCGATGTTTTCAGTCTTCATTATAAGTAATTTTGTGATCTTAAATCGTATGATGTAAAACGACGCAGATGCCAGCAGTAGTTCTTAGATTATCTTTCAGGTATACAGTAAAGGTAAAAATTGTATTCACTATGAAGGTTGTTGCAGTCAAATTTTACGTTATAATTATTGTTCATCGACTGTTCTTTCAGCGATGCAAAGTTTAAAATGAAGCTGATTTAAATTCCATTTCCGTTACCGACCATAAATTTGCAACGGCTGTTTGGTCTTCTCATCTGCTATGGCATTTTTATCCCATACGTAATAGCTTGTTATTTGTCGGCTCATTTCACCTTTTTGTTCCTGACGTTTGCATGTAGAAAAAGTAATCGAATTTATTATTTTTACAGGACCCAGAATTAGTCCGAAACATTTGCCGATGGATACGAAGTGCCATTAAAATTCCATTTTTCGCAAAATTAACTCCAAATGTCACGGATATCGTCAACATTGCCAGAGCTGCCAAAGAAGGTATGATTTGTCTTAAAGTTGGTTGGAAGTGGAATAGATGAAGTGTTTTCTCTTTTCTTCCAACTTAAGTGATCCTGGGGGCCATTCTTACCTACTTACCCGTAAGATACTTATGCTTATCCCTTCCATTGGTTAGAGTCCTTGGAAAGATGAAAGGATATGTAATAATGAAAATCAGTTACGGCATAGTGAACACTTCTTCCCAACTAGTGCCGGATTTTGTCGTGGACAAGCGTGTCATCGAACCTACTTCAGCGTCCTTTGAACTAGTGAATCTCCAGGAAGTAACTGAAAAACTATAGGCCTTAAAAACATTGAAAGCTCAAAATTCGTAGATAAAAGAGAAAGAAAGAGAGTGCTTTTTAATGAGGTGTACAGTTTATCCGCTGTTTTTTTTTCGTTGCGTATTGAAGGGGACTGGGACTCACCATGGTCTCTCAATTTTTCTGCATTTCTTCCCTTTCGGGAAATACCACCCACGTGCAAAATGGCAACATAACAAAGTATGGCAGGTTACTTCGAAGCGCCGAAAAAACTGAAAATAAAAGCTGACTGAACTGAAGGGAATCATGAGACTTAAAAACTAATCGGACTCGAAGACACGAGTTAGAATGTTTCAAAATTCTTGGAAAGAAAGTTTCACAAGGACAAAATGTACTGTTATGTATGTAGGAGGTTGTCCTGCTCTGGCTGATGAAAGAAGTTCTTTGTACATTGGTTGTGCATCTGGTGGGAAATTAAACCAATTAAAGGAAATAAGACCAAAAATCCAACCGATTGAGTTTTTATTTTAATATATCCCTCATTAGTTTTTTTGGAATTGAACCAAGGAGAAGTGGAATTCAAAAATATTTTCTTATCCTGTGACGTCTTACTCATACAATGATAAATTAGTAATTAGAGTGATTGTTCGAAGTTTTTGTTTTTAGCAACGCTAAGTTTGAAATATAAATTTAAACAATTGAGAACATCGTAAGGATGAGTAGAAGGGACTCGTTGCTGTGTACGGCTATTGACAAAAAAGTGTTCGCTCTGCTCTGTCTTGACCACAACTAAATAAACTAGAGCTTAATAATTTTGCTTTTCCACAAAAATCATGATAGCGAGAACTGCTACCTTAAACTTCTTCGTTAGCCACAATTTACTTAGAAAGACTAAAAAATGCTTTAATGAGTTTACTGACCTCCTGTTCTCTTAGGATAAGCTGAATAAAGGGCAACCGTGAATATGTCACAAGAGGACACCTTTTTTAACATACAAGTTTGCCTTAATTAATTACATAATTTATTTAGATACGTTACCGTACCTTCCGTACCTTACCTTGACCCTCCATGAATAGTAGAAGCTTGATGGAAACCTTTAGGACTTTCAAGGACTCATGGAATTCCAGTATGAAGTGAAAAGCTTCATTATTGTTTCAGGTTGTGCTGATGGAGTGACTGCTACTAACACAGTGTCTGGCTTGATGGGCCTGCGTCCGAACAGTGCTGCATGGCCAGCAGTCGGAAAAGAACAAAAAACTACTTATGGAGGTGTGTCCGGCAATGCAATTCGACCCATTGCATTACGAGCTGTATCTGCAATTGGCAGAGCCCTTCCTGGTTTTCCAATCTTAGCTACTGGGGGAGTGGATAGTGCCGAAGCAGCGCTACAATTTCTTCATTGCGGAGCATCTGCTGTTCAGGTGAAATGCTCATCCTTGTGCTTTGTGGATTAAAAGTGTGTAATAAGTTAACTTAGAAAATTTATGGCTGTTTAGTAAGAAAAATCGACTGTTGAACTTAATGAATCCTTTTTGTTTTTTAACGGAGTGAAACAGGGCTTTCTTAGTTGCTTACATAATAACCTAAGTACGAAACTGGCCTCAAAACTTATAAGATCAAAGGAAAGGAAAGATAACATAGCCCAACGTCATTTAGTGGCATTCGTATTTCGTGATAACTGAGTATTGCGTGTTCACAAGTTTGTTTTCCTCGTTAAAGAATATTTACCTTCATAATCTTACCTCTCTTTCGATAGACTTTTATGTACAAAAATTTACCCTGAAGACAAGTGAAATTTGCTTCGAAATATTTGGAAGTAGAAGAGTAGAATAGAGAACAGCGTCCGTCTCGAATTTGATGAACTACGCTGCCATGATGGATTGTCTAGTGGAGATGTCAAGTGACAATAAATATGGTCATGGTCGGCAAAGCCCCCGTCCTCTACCAATTTGTAATTTGTTATTTTCTATTCAGGTATCGAGTGCTGTACAAAACCAAGACTTCACCCTAATTGACGATTACACGACTGGTTTGAAGTGCTTGCTTTATCTTCAAACTGTTCAAGAACTCTCTACATGGAATGGCCAAAGTCCTCCTACACCCAAACACCAAAAAGGCAAAACTGTTCCTAAAATAGCTGAGCTGGTGGGAAAGGTCAGACAACATGACTTAACGTACTGTTTTATGGATTGGTGGTCTTAGATTGATTGAGAATTCTAAAAGTTGCCCTATGAATTACTCACCTTTTCATGCAAGGGAGGGGTCAGTGGGGTGGTCGGAGGGGTTGGTGTGAGTCATCGCTAGAGACATAGCTGGCAAAACGGCAACCGTCCATACAGCTTTGGTAGATCTAAGATTGTTTCTAAAAATCGTAATTTATCCAAATATATCCTAACTAATATACCCAAACTAAAACGACCAGTACATCCGGGAACCGAGCGGCATATTTTTCGTATGTGACACGAATGGCGATACGAATGACGTGAATGAATCCCCGCCTCGGTTTGTTTGTTGTTTAGAAAATTAAATGGCGGCAAGATTTGATGTGGTAAGTGACGATGAAGTAAATGCATTTTCCGAACAACTAGAGATCGAGAACACCACAATAAACAATGACATCACATGACCAAGGACACCACAATGAATCATTTTAAAGGAAATTCTCGAAAGTTGTCACGAGACAGAGGTAAATTTTTGTTCTATGCGTATGCGAAGTGAAAAGAGGCTGACAATTTACAGTATCTGATGATCAAGTCAGAGTCAGCAGTCGAATTTTCATTTAGCTGTAAAACCAGTTCACATGTATTTTTGGCCTAATTGACGGTGTTTTTTGTAAAACTTTTATAATTTGGGCACCAGGTATTTTGTTAGTATACCCAGTATTTGTATTAAAGCCTGCTAGAGATATTTATTCAGGGAATTTCTATCTTAACAGTCCCTTCCTAGTTTTGGACCATTCCTTCAGGAAAGAAATGCTGTTGTTGCGAGGTATAAAGAAAACATTGACCTATTGGGTAAAGAATTTGAGCCCGAGGAAGTCAGGCCAGCTTTTAAACCGGACAAACCTGCTTTACCACTCAAGGTAACTTGAATACTGAATGTTCACCATAGAGGGCACAGTTTGAACATTCAGTGGATAGAGAGGAATCTATTTTGAAATACCTGCAGTGAATTCATGTAATTATCTTTCGTTCTGTGTCTATAAAGTAGAAATTTCTGGTATGAATTCATTTCTTTTAGCATCTGCATTTTACTTTGGCAGGATGTAGTTGGCGCGGCTTTGGACCGAATTGGCTCCTATGGTGACCTGGATAACAGGCAACAAGTTGTTGCTGTAATTGACGAAGATTTATGTATAAACTGTGGCAAATGCTACATGACTTGTAATGACTGTGGCTATCAGGCCATCACCTTTGATGCTCAAACACATCTTCCGCATGTTACTGACGACTGTACTGGCTGTACATTGTGTTTTTCTGTTTGCCCAGTTATTGGTAAGACTTCGTCAGATACTTTAATATCAGACCTCTCATGTAGGCTGTCTGCTTCCAATGTGTTGGGTTTTTTTCCCCCTACTTAACAAAAGTTCCTTTGTACTAAGTTGCCAAGCATTACAGTTGGAAGGAGGCTGAAGGCGACCTAGTTAAAATACAAACCCTGTCGGTATTCGGATAGGTATTAATCTGTTATCATGCTAGTTTCTTGTCTCTATCGTAGCAAGGACAACTTAACCCTTCGCCCTCCGGCCTCAAAGGTGAAATTGACATTTAAAGGCTACAAAACTTTAAAATTGATTGATGCTTACTGAAAATATTGATGTCAATGAATGATGGTTGATGTCAATTATTTTGAGAATTTTAATCGATGATGGCTGTTTTCTTGCAGATTGTATCAAGATGGTTCCGAGGGGAGGTCCTTACAAGCCAAGCCGTGGTGTTCCGCTGGCTGTTATTGGAGAGGCATAAATTAAATTCAATCAGCAGTCGTACTGACTGCTGAACTTTTGGCAGTCCACATCAATCATCAGACATTTTAGAGTGTACCGAGTACTTTCTCCACAGGGAACACTCTTTTTTTTCTTTTTGTGGTCTTAAATCCGTTATGATTATTTAACTTGAGAAGGGTTGGGAATTGAACGATAATTATTTGTTTCATTCTGTTATCCTTTTTATGTTTTTGTGCCTTAGGGAAGCTTACCTTTTATACAACTACGATGATGCTAGAGATGATACTAGTGATATCGAACAGGTGATACGCAAAATCAGTGATGACTGTGTGGTCAAGAATCGTGATCATGAGCATAGTTATCGATGTTCTCAGTAAATTTCGTTTTGTACTTAATGCAAATAGTAATAAAACTCTCCCTTCAGTATTTGCTACTATTTTTTATTTTTATTTTAAAGTTGCACGTTGTACTTTTGATATTTTTGATGAAGAAGTATGCTCCAGGTATGAAAAGGATTTGTAAAGAGTTATTTAATCATTTCGACTGAGGCACACACAACACCATACAGTTATACAGTTCATACAGTTATGTTCGAAAACTATAAAATTATTTCTGGCCAGAATGCAGTTTTTTTTGCAACTCTCAATTGCTCAAACGCTGAGGGGCGGATGATGGTCTTAGGGCCTCTGTCAGCAGACTCCGAAACACGTGACCCGAACCCCACACTCTATTACCGTCCTCAAATCCGTTGCGATCATGGTTGATTCTGTTTAGGAGTTTTGAGAAGCATAACCGAACAGAGCGGCAAGAGATGTGCAAAGGAAAAATATAAGAAATAGGTTTCTTAGCTCCTTTTTAAGGTTTTCTTCTCACTTTTACACCTCTACCGCAGGAAAACCGCCAGCTTGTGTAGTCCAAACCTTCAGTGTCGGTTGCGGAAAATGGCCCGAAACAGTCCCGCGTACCCCAAAGGAAAACGAGGGAAATAGAGCAAGGTTTTAAAATAAGGGAAAATACCCAGAGAGAAATTTGGTGTAGAAACACTAGCTTGTCTTTCCACCGTTGCGGATGCCTCTGCAACGTTTACTTAATTTTACTAATTTTGCCATTTAAGGAAAGTATGCCGCCCGCTGTATCCTATGAAACTAAGATCTTAGTGCGGAACCACATCCGTTCAGTAGGAACACAGTGTGACATAGCCAGATTGTCAAATAAAGAACATAAAAATAAACAGACGTCCGCCGATTGACGACAGTAATGGATACGAGAAATCTTACTGCTGAAAGAGCTTCGCGTCAAGAGTAGTTTGAATTGTGTGGGAGAAAACACAACTTAAAGTCGAGCAGCGATGACTTGTTTGGGGCGGTTGAGGACACACATGCTATCATTACCACATTTGTGGTATGAGCGATATTTTTATTTTCGGAGAAAAAAAAGATTACGGTTAACCTCGATATATGTGCATCGCATTTATCAAAACATGAGTCGAGTGCACGGCCGTTGTTATTGTGATTTGTTGTCTCGGGCTGTCAGAGCGTCATGGTTTCTTTCAGTTATCGATTTGCTCAGTATGCCAAAAAGTCCTGTATGTTTTTCGTTTCAGCTCATGGATGAGAACAATCTGTCCATTTTATGACGAAGTAAGTAAGACAATCTGAGAAAAGCTTAGCCATACGGAAATGGTGAAGACAAAACTGTCTATGGCCGGGGTGGAGAGAGCTGGGCGGTAAAGTAGAAGATCACAAAGTGTTTTGGTCACGTTCTGCTTTGTAAAGGCCTGTTTACATGGAGGTGGGGGACCCCAGGGCGGTGAGGTAACCCGCCTAGGCGGGTTGCCCGGTCTGCCAGCTAGGGTAACCCTGTCAGCCGGGGTGACAATTTGCCACGTAAACGTCTCAAGGTGGGGTAACCCGCTAAGCCGGGATCGCGTTCATGGCAAAAAGCTCAAAAGCGAAACATGTTTTAAAACTTCTTACATTTCCTAGCCGTCTCATGGCGGAAATCACCACAAAGCGCAACGGACACACAAGGAGCGTAAAGTGTTCACATTTCGGAATATTTAGCGTTGTAAATCGACCATATTTCGTTTCCCAAACTATTCTGTATTAAGTCAACGGTTCTTCGCGTAACCTAACACCGCGTAACACAACGCGCGACGCTTTCATGAATAAATACATATTTGTCCGAGAATCAATCTTTCGTCTTTCTCGAGATGTGAGCTTGGGACGCTTCTGCTTAAACTCCTTAATTGCAAGCGCAACAACAACCTCAAGAAACCTCACTCCAGCACCCCGGGGTTGTAAGATTGTATGTAAACGCGTTTTATGTTTCGACCACGGCTAGGCGGGTTACCTAACCTACCTGGCGTCCCTCACCTCCATGTAAACAGACCCTAACTCTTCGTGATTCTTGCTGCTCCTCGTTATATTAAGAGCATGGACGATTCGAAGATCCTTTACACTTAGTCTTTAAGTTGATCATAGCACTAATCTGAAACATTCGCATTTCCTCGTTATGTTAAGCGCATGGACGATTCGAGGATCCTTTATGCTTGGTCTTTAAGTTGATCATAGCACTAATCTGAAACATTCGCAGTCCATTTCAATTTAGTAAATGTCGAAACAGCCGTGTAAAGACAATAACCTTCCACCTAAGGTGATGCTATATCGAAGGCGGTCGTCGAGGGTCGAACAAACAAGTTTATAGTACAGCGGTTAAACATACAATTTGTCATGTAAGCTTCAGCACTTGTTCCCCACGAAAAATTAAAAAAAGAATTGTTCCAGATCGTTCTTAACAAAGGAGATTTGAGGTCCTGCGGCAGTTTCTTGATTTTGTTTGAGTATTTTGTGGTTGTCATAAAATAACCACTGAGATATATTTCTTTTGAACAATTTTCATGGGATTTTTACCTGTAAGCTAAATGCGAGTTCAAATTTTTTTTTCTATAACGGGCACATAAAATAGCATTATACCTTTACTCTTTTCTTCCAGTATCAATCATTAGGAGAAGAAGAAATATTACTAAATGCGTGATCGCGTAGTTTATAGCGATTCCCAAAATCCTAGATTCATGAAAACGAGCCATCAAACTAAACTTCTCTGTTTTTGTTTACTCACACGATTTTTTAAAGAAGAATGATTAGTCGCCGCCATCATTACGCATTCTAGTGTCTTAATCAAAAATTGTCTTCTGTTTTTTCGGGGGCTTTCGCAATATTCGCGAGTTTCATGATTCCCCGCTGACCAAAATTACCGTGTACTCTTACCCTCGGCGAACGCCTTCGATATAGCGTCACCCATAAACTTCGCAACGGTCGATGCAATCACAAGGGCGCAATGACTTCGGACTTCTTCGGAAGGATAGATCTCTAGTTCGGAGCCGACTAATTACGAAGAGTCCACGCCAATTTGTATATCCCAAATTGCCCACAACAACTCGTTTCTACGCTATCGCGTATACACGAGTCAAAAATGAATTACACACGTGAAAATATTCATTCAAAATATTCAAATCATTGATTTATTGGCTCAGTTTCTTGATCATTGCCTTTTTCTTGAATGTTATGTAGATTTTTTGTTTTTTGATCATCTTCACTGTGTATCTCATTCTGACCTCGGTTTATTGCCGTAAAAGGTACACTTGATTTTGAAAGTGCTTCCTCAATTCCTTTTCGAACGTCGCCGCAGAAGGTGTCGTTGGC